TTGTGCAACACATTTTAGACAATCTGGTCACGCATGGACTTGTTATAGGAATACATATGAAATTAATACAGTTAAAAGTTTGGAAAATAAATTTAGGTGGAATTAAAACCACATATTGAAGGTCAAAATAACAATGAAGATTACTAAACCAAATATCTGAGGGACTAGTACATCTACCCTGACTAGTTTCAAAACAAAGTTTAACAAAGGTTTCGTGTGATGACGAATAGTCTTGGAATTCACAAAAGTGGTTTAAACTTCCTAATCACACTTCGGTTCCCACAAACTTTAGAATGCAATCCAAACACGTTTTACAGATAGGTTTAAAGAATGTGCAAACGCCAGTTTTATGACCTGTCCCTATAATATGTTTCGAAATAGAGGAGCTGGGACCCCATTAATAACTTCTGAAGATTCTGTTGCTTCTGGAGGCATTTAGGAATATGATGCGTAGCCCTTACTTGCAAAAATCGATGAGCCTTCCCTAAATGGATATAGCAACCACTTCTAAACCTTACGTCCATAGCTTTAAGAGATGTCGGACACTACTTCTACGTGGTTTTAAAATAATTTGGTGAATTAACTTCGAACAAGCGCGAATGTGGCGTCAGGACAATGACAAAAATCGGAAGTTTATGAAACCAAACTCACTAGTAGGAAAAAGTGACGCACACGTCAGATGTCTTTACGTACCTGATCACGAGGATGGTATTGAAATCCACCAAATTACTAAAATGTTGCAGTGTGCATTTAACTCACTTAAAAACTTCGGCAGAAAACAGTGAATGTTATAAGTGATCGTAAAACATATTGCAATTTCTGCCCATTTGTGAACACTAATTTTCGCTTGTATCTATGCATTCTATTGACTTTCCTCTATCAAAACAACACACAGAAGTGCGGGAGGATGCAGGAATTCGATATCAACCATATTCTTTGGTTCCTGCAGCAGTAATAGGTACTGCACAATAGCTGATAGGGAAATTTGAGATCGAGTACAAGTTTCCGCCAATCTGCAAAGAAATTTATCGAATGACAGTCGTTGAAATGTACGCGAAGCTTACTCGGTATGCCAAAAATCACTGCATGAACCATGTATTTAAGCGTCCTGTCACACAAGCAATCAGCAAATGCTCAAGAACAATATCGAACAATAATTTTCATATAAATTCATCCAACAAGAGCAAAATAAGCAGCGAAATAGCGTCTACTACGTTTGCTGGACGACTAGCCACAACTCGAATCAACGAAACCGCGCAAATGCCGTCAAGGTTAAGCCAAAGGCGCCACTTCAAACAGGGGATATGCTTTATCAACGCCCATTGGATGCCCCTCCCTCTCATTTGATGGTTTCAGATTCACTATCAAAAAATCCAGATATAAATTCAGAATATTAGAAACAACTTCAGAATGGACGTAGTGAAATTTTATCAGAATTCATGAAACAAAACGAAATACAAAGGAACGCTGTGGCCACTCGTTTGATGCCTGCATTACGAACACGTTTAGAGGTCAGACGCAGTACTTACGAAGGGCGGAGCTCTCATATAATTTGTAGGCGTGTAAACCAATATAATTAAGCATGGCAACTTCATATAATAAGTTTCCTTGCACACATAAAGGTAGTGTACCCGATTTTGTGGACCATGGCTTGATGTACAACCCTTGGAGAATTGCTGAGTTACCACAGTGCGCCTACAACCCCTCTCACAGTGACAATTTATTGTCTCTTGCCAACGATTCATACCTTGTTCTCACTTCAGCAATCCTGACTGACCCATCAACAATGGAGGGAACCCTTTCTACCAATCCTAAACACCACCTACTCGTATCAGACTCGTCTGCTGCCAGAACTATATCACCAACATTTTGGTTTGGAAGTGATCTTCTGCTCTTGTCCCTTGCTTGTAGTGTTAGCATATATTCGCTGAAGTACCTTATCCAGAATACATCCTTTAGGTATCTGACTTGTCTCTATTCTTTAGTCACAAAGCTTAGTTCCCGGAACCTTTACTCGCAACAACGGTTCTTCTCAATCTGCTGCTATAGCTACATCAGGCATAATCACTCTTTGGCATATCCCCAGAAGGATTCTAAACTATACGCTCCGTCAGAAGAATCCGCAGGTATCCATTTGCACTTCTTAATCCTACCACTCGAAATAAAATAAGACGAATCATTGTCCCCTTTCCATAATGGTATATCACAAATTGTGAGGGATAATGTACTAATCTAAGTATAAAACTTAGTCACTGTGGTAGAGTATAAATCCATTGTGGATAAGATTTTATTTTGATAAATCACACAGTCCCACTCAGGGAAAAGTTCAGTAGGTTAAAAGACTCTGCTGGTTGACGCATTTAGACAAAATAATATAATTTACAAAATACCTTGCAATGACTATGAGTTAACTTAACTATATAGGTGCAACTAGTAGGTCGGGAGCAGTCAGGCTGTCGCAACATAAGAATTTAGATGAGGTTAGAATGGTCGACCCCGAGAAGATAAGTAATTTAGAAAAAGCTCAGCAGTTTCACTTCACGCATTAACACACAACCATATATATAAATATGTAATATTAAACACTATTCCGAACAATAATAATCATACAAAATAGAAACTTTTCAGCATTACGCAGTTAGATGAAAACATCCGGTTACTAGTGCAAAGAAAGACTGATAAACGCCTATTTCTGGAAGCATAAATCAGGATTCAAGCGCTTGATGGAAATGGCTTTAGCAAACGTGAGCTCCTTTGCCCACTGACACTTTTGAACGACTTTTCGACGTTCACCTCATGACCCGTGTCAAGTGTCGTCCTACAAGGGAGAATAAGAGGACACTTGATCGACTTCTGTCACTCACCCGACCCCTGATGACTGACAATAACTTAAAGATCATCTATTGAATTCATGCTAACTTCTCGGCCGCTGTTCCTTTCTTTCAAACTTGTAAGGGTAGCAGGGAGCTTGACTATACTTATGAATTCAGGCCAGACCTTTGGATACAAAAGTATTATGTGTACAGTCCGTATTTCTACTTTAACTTTAGAGGGACAAATATTCATTTGGTATTCCGGCATTATTTCACATGTCTCCGTTTATTATTTTAATTCGACATATTTTATTAGTGTTAAAATCTGTTCCAATCAAGTTTCTCGCATCTTGTTGAGTAATGTTCATATTCGCCTATTAATTTCACACTCTGTCCCAAGACCTAAATATCTTATAAGTTATTATATTTATTTACATGACATCATTCGTTTTATCACTTGATGTTGAACTGTGGTCACGAATCACAAATATTCTAATCACACTTCACATTATTACTGTTACAACAGTAGAAGACAAGAGACTTGATAACGGGATGTTTATTAGGAATTTGATATCTCTATATAGGGAAGGTATGTCCACCCTACCTGCAAATAGTCATTTACACAGATCATCCGTAATGTACTGCTTCTGTACCTCGGACTGTGTTCCACTGTCTTCTTTTTATGTCTTCCGTGTTTTGCTGCAACACTGGTCCACTCGTACTCTCTGACGTTAAGCGCTGCCTGGGTGAGTGGGGGGGGGGGAATATCACTCGACAGTCTCTTCTCAATTTATGTCCACCAACCCATTTCCTTCTGCATATTCGTTAGACAAATGGCTCTTGGTTGGTTTGTCGCTAGGGTTCCACGTGGTTAATCTTTTCTGACAGGTATGGAACCAGCAAAGACATCTATTAGTGAAATTCTATGGTAGCCTTCTGTCAATAGTTTTCGCGACATGCGGGCCAGGTTTCTGGAAGAAATTTATTCGGTTTATGGTCTGAAAGCAAGAAACTAATCTCCAAGTTCTATGGTATAGCCGACAAAACTTCGTCGAGACACGCACTGTCATAAAATGTTCCTAACCTGCGGAAAAGACGATTATTCTTAAATACTTAAGCGGTTCTGTTAAACGATGATAACAACAAACTCAAATTTACCTCAAAAGTGCAGTGAAGCAGCTATGTGGGTGGTGCGTATTTCTAAATACAAAACTAGTACTGCGAAACCAAATTAGTTAGCCGAATTTCAACCGTAAAAGGTATCTTAGGATAAAGGAGATTATTCCCAACTAGGTTGAATCAAAAGCTCTGTCCACGAAAATCACACACGAAGGCTTCTCGCAAACAGTCCCCGGTTAGAAGGCCCTTCATTCACTCAAACTCATATCTTTAGTCACCATAATTTGACCTTCGACTGAAAATGGAGCCTTCTTGCCGCTTTCTTCAATATATATTCACGAATGTACAGACTAGTTGATGATGAATTCGTTGACAAGAAAACCTTTTCTGATTGCAACCATCTTTTTAACTATTTCCAGTGATCTAATAGGTATATTTAGCAATTGCCGTTCACTAAGATGAATCGCCTTCAGGCTGTTAAACAGATCTAGCATGATCTTACCTTACATGGTGTAGCGTCTCTAACTAAAGAGGCCCCAAATATTCTACACATAAAACACCTACACAGAAGCTTAAAAATCCTATTGCCTCAACTAATAATCGGCTGGTTTCCCAGAGGCATTTACCAACCCGCAGAGTCATTTTCTCTCTCTCCAATTCAAGTGATGAGTACGTTTATTTCCGTTGTGTTTTCAAGTTTCTGTACCGATTGAATTGATTTTCCGAGGTAGGGTCTCTAGCCTACACTAGGCCCAACCTTCCCTATTTTGTCAAGTGAGCTTAGGATCGGCTAAGAAACTAGCGAAGTAATAAACTAGGTGAGGTTATACGTCATACCATATCCCACAGCAAAACACAGACGTGATAAACTAATAGTTATTTCAGGAAATAAAAAGAACAATGTATTGAAAAAATACAAATAAAAAGGAAGGATACATATTAGTTGTTTTCTTGAAAGGCATATCACAAGTACTGAGAAGAAAACGTGATTAGGGAGAGGACGGGCCCATTCGTTAATTTTCCTTTCCACGTTTTGGCAACAGATTCACACACAGAGATGCTCTTTCTTTATTGAAGTTTCAGCGCACGTATTTCATTCACTGGGAAATCACGTCTACACAAGGTGAAAACATTAAAATTGAATGAATACAAACGTGCTATTACATAATAACCAAATAAGAATATCATGTGTGCGGGTCAAACTGCAACTCTGCACATCAGCAACATAGAACAGAGGCAACCAAATCTCACTCTTCAACCCATCGACTTAATCGACTATTTTGAAAAGGCTCTCGATAGCGTTGACGACAAAGTAATTTGGGAACTATTTCAACCTCATTCAACGACACCTACATGACAGTGAGGTCAAATGTCCAATAATCCACGACAGTAAACCCGGAGAAGTATTTCGAGTGAGTGAAGACAGGAGTAAGAAAAAACTGTCTACTATCACCCACGATGATGTTTTCGAATATAGTAGAGTGGATCATGTTGCTGACCGTGGTGTGAGGAAAGAGGAGACAGAGATACGTTCTATTGATAAGAAGACTAGGAGATCTGGACTTCTCAAGTGGACGATTCATGTCTAACGTCAAACAAACTCGAAGACTTACAAGTGAAGACCGACAAACTGCCTAAAGAGGCTGGTAGCGAAGACAGCAGTTCAGGTGAACATAAAGAAGATTGAGGTGATAAAGATAACTAACTAAACAAACAACCAACAAAAACGAGCAACAATCAATATAAACAGAAGAAATTTGAAGGAGGTCACTTCCTTGACTTCTCTAACTGGACAGAATCGTCTCAAATACACGCCTGCATTGAAAATGCAACATAGACCTGTATCCCTCTGAAATCACTTTGAAAATATACTGCACTCTACAGCATTAAGAACAAAATCAGGACTGTCAACACAAATCTCAAGTCAGTCACTTCTTCCATCTGGGTCAAAAACTTCACCAGTGCGTCACAAAATGTATTTCGAACAATCTAAACTGCAGAATTTTATCAACAGCTTCCCCCGTCGATGACTCCTATACTGAAGATCAGATGACCGACCGACCAGCCGACGATTGTCCGGAAAGAATTAACCACACGAAACTCTGGTGGCTAATGAACCAATCAAGGAAGAAAGAACCTATCGGATCAACCCTTTGTGTGATCTTCCAGATGCATGAAATCCTCATGTTTCTCCACGTTACTCTTCTTTTTCTCACACATTTCTGCCTAGTGTAGTTGTTTTCAATCTCATTGTTTCCTTCTGTCTTCCTTTGTTTGCTATATAGAGACAGAGTGTGGCAACTTGAACCCGCTACACTTCTGTATAAATTTCAACCTTGAAACTTATTTTGGGTATACTCATTTTACATGGAGACGACACCAATAGAAAACGATCACCATCTGCCTAATGGGCAAAACTTTTGGCGATATGTATGATGATTTCAGAAGATTAGTCTGCACTAACTTATAACTCAGGGATATACTGCAGAATGGGTTAAGAATGTGAGTAATGATGATTTTCAAGATATTTGGCAAAGGGTGGTTATCTCAACCATGACACAACCAGTTTGCTTTCATGATTACCAATTATAGTGGAATCAAGCAGACAACATGTTATGATCGGAAAAAAACTTGGTTTCCAAAGGAGGCTACGGTGAGATGTCACCGCTTGAACAACTGTGTAGGTTGCAAATTGCTAACCAATTTGCGAATTATGAATTTGATTCAAAGCTCTGTCTCCCTCTCCCTATATCTACATGAAATTTTGAGTATTTATGAAAATTTAGGATTGGGACGACTTTCAACACTTATTTCCAGTGAGTCCTTCTATACTAAATACTTCAGAGAATTGCAGCACCAGAAAAAACATTTTCAACAACAGACTACTGCAGACTTTTCTTTAACATACCTTTCGCTACCTTGATATTGAAGATCAGAGAGGATTATCAGCAAGAAAAAACTGTGAGAGGCAACGAACCATTCAACAACCTACGCTCAATAAAAAAATATTCAGAAGGAAATGGAGATGGATTGACCACACACTGAAGAGACGTCTGAGTGACATCACATACACACACACACCAGTCTGGTCATCGATCAAGTGAACATCCCCTATTGGGAAACGACGAGTCGGTCGTAGTTCGAGGGTGAGGAAAGAAAAAAGATTATGGGCAATCGTTGAGGCATATACACAATGCATAATGAAACAGGGTAAATGAAACTCACCTCAGTGATAGAATACTTCTCACTTCTTGAGCCGTAAGACGCCAATTAGAACTATTCCAGTAATAATGTACTTCATCAATCTAGATAGTAGAATAGAATAAGAGAAATTATTTGGGAACACATATACTTAATACATACAATATGAGCTTGAAGAGATGCGTCACATAACATACAACAATTATTTAGTTCAATTTGGACTTTCCCATGGATTGATTGTACCGAAGATCTCGGCCTCAGGTTGATATGTCGGCAGAAACTTTGACAATGTCTGATTATTTAACCTGAAGTAAACTGGTAGATGGTGGCTAGCAATTAACATAGGTGATAGAACTCAGACACCGATGATCAAAGACAGCTAGCCGGCCTTTTCATGTTTTCCACTTTAAATGGCCATATCTCAGTCGCAGTCATAAGGGAGGACGGAGAGAACTGTTGCGGCGCATTACACACCTCCCTTTGATAGACAGTCGGACATCTACACTAGAGATAACGGAAGTCGGCAAATGCCAAATGAACCTTTAGTATCTGTGCTGAGATTTTGTCAGCGTTCAACCCGCTAATGCTGAAGCAACTTTCCAGGTAAGTAAAGTGGTCAACACGATATCTCCCTATCTTTAGGCTAGAAGTCAATGTAGCCCACTCCTGTAGTATAATCTTACATTTGATAGGGGTGAATCGCATTCCACACATTCAAAGATTGCTGTTCAAGGTATTCAAAAGACTGAATTTCATCAGCATCTTCACCTAGGAAGACTACGTCATACCCGCATAATTTGAGTCAAAGAGATTATACCCTGGTAACAAGTCAATCCCTGAGCTGCTGAAGTGAGTTAGGGTTAAGCCGATTAGTACATCTATGATGAAATTAAACAGAAATATGGACAGTGGACATGCCTAAAGGACACCATTGGCTGTCATCACTTCAGATAATAACTCTCCGTCCTAGTTACTTACTTACTTTACTTCGGCTATCTCCTACGCAGTCCTAGTTCACTGTCACTGACGTCTGGATTGAAAAAGATAATGTATATACATAGCTAATATAAAAATGAAAGACGACTGCACCGACGAAAAATTTCCTTTCGACAAGACCATCATCAATCATGTGTATTTATATGGGCAAATGGGTGAGAACTCTATTTCCGGTCAAGGATCAAATGAATAAGATTACAAATAGGGATTAAAAATGTGAAAATAACAGAGATAAACAGAAAGTTTAGATAAGAAAGGTAATCACAATTAAAAACATTGACTGTTTATGATGACCCTTGGTGTAAAGTTAAAGCTGGTTGGATGTATTTCTTTTGATAAATACATAGTGTTGACTTGAACTTGTGAATTGCTAGTGCTTCATCTATGCGCCACAGATGACTTCGTCTCACACTGCTTTTGTGAAGTTTGATCGGATTTTGTCTATGACTTTGTTTTCGAATGGAGCTGAGTGTCCTGGGTTCACCAGATGTTGTGTTGCTGAGGTATGAACATACCCCTACATTCTCCTTTTTCTGCTAGCCAGAGAGGCTGGGTAATGTTCCCGAGTGCGTTTTAGAATCAGATGCATGGTACAGCCAATGAATTCAGTTCCACGGGAGCAAGTTAACTGGTATTTTTTCTAGCCAGGCTAGCGAAGGGAGAAGGTAGGTGTGTGTGTATGTTCTTACCTCAGTAACAGAACATATCTAGTCAACTGAGGACATTCAACTCCTTCAAATATGTATATACAAGATATGATCAAACTTCTCAAGGGCAGTGTGAAATTAAGACATTCTAGCATATCTGAATCATTATTATTGATCCGAAATCATTCAAGTCAACGGTATATGTATTCAAAAGAAGAACGTCCAACAACCTTTGTCTTCACACAATGGCCACTGTAGAGAGTCATTACCGTCTAATAGTGAAGTGGTTAGCTGGAATCCTTGAACCCATCAGTGGACAATTATCTATTTATTCCTTTCATGACACCCTCCAATTTGTCGAATGTATACAGAATAAAAATAATTCGAATATACATGTGTTGTTCTTGGATGTGGAATACCTATTCATGAACTTTCCATGTTTTATATTGAAATATATTGAAGACTATGTACTTTCAGTGAAACAATCTACAGACAGAAGGATGGTATTGCAATGGGTTCTCCCTTGACTCTTCTCCTTGCAAATTATTTAAATTGCTGGTCCTGAAAATGATCAGTTGGAGTCAACAATCGAAAGTTTCCAAATGTATAAAGGTATGTAATAATGATTGCCATCCAGCGGTAAAATTCACACTGGAGATGGAGAACGAGTATAGCATCCATTTCCTCGATGTGAACTTATAAAAGAGAACCGATGGAACTCTGAAGAGATCGATTTATGGAAAGCTATCATGTAATGGTCAACTGACAAATCTTTACAGCTGAGTACCCATTGGTCAGAAACGAAACCTAACCCGGCCACTTGCCATTCACATTCGGTGCATTTGAAGTCCTGATGCCGTGGAGGAAGACTTAAATCTTCTAAGAAAAACACTGATGGAAAATGAATTTCCACCACGTATTACAGATAAGAATATACAGTCAAAACTTATGACTTATCATAACCAAGAAAATGTCGTACATGAGCTTTGTATTCAAAGGTGATTTAGCTTCGGATATCATTAAAAAAAGGATTTCACAGTCCCTGAAAAGGACATTCTCTGCTAAATCGTTGAGAATAGCGTTTTCCAGTCAACCATTACTGTTCAGTAACCTGAAGGACAAGATCCCGCTGCTGACCAACTCTATGTGCGTTAATAAATTCACTCTACAGCCTTAACCTTTAAAGTCATCTACAAGGCGAAAAATAATCAGCCCGAATCCTTACATACCATCCGACTCACCTATTGTACTGCTGAAGCTTTCGCCATTAAAATGGAAAAGCCAGATCTCTGTATGCAGAAAAAGTTCGTCCAACACTTCCAACTTTTATGGCGTATGGCGTGCTCGTTGATCAATGAGTTACTAAGGCGGAATCCAAAGGACGGCAGATCATTTTAATACCTATCAATTCACAATAAATAACACGACTGACAACACCCCCCCCGATTGAGTCAAATAAAAGAAAAGACTCCCAGTGGGGAGTATCTTTCTCAGGTTGTACAATCGCATATGTATGTGTAGTTAATTTTAATAGCGACCAAAGGAATATTACCGAAGGCGCTTGTCATTAAAATTGTAAATTTTAAATAAAAATTGCGTACAAAAAAGCCTCATTCGGTTAGAAATTGATATAAAACCAAATAAGTAAAGCAAATGATGTAATACAGTTGACGGGATTGGGTAGAATTCAACTAAACTAGAATTAGAGTTCATTCACCCTAACAGATGTAAACAAGATTGAATACTTTCATATTAGTTTGTTTATTAGATATATCACACAGTCAATGAAACAGTATTATTTACTGGATGACGGGGTTCCAAACAAAATTTATTGTTCATAATCATATCAATTATAATCACACGACTTCGAAACTTGAGTTTTATAGTTTTCTTTGTCCTCTCCTATTTGTCATAGTAGTAGTAGAATTTTCCAGATATCTGGGTGGACAAGTGTTGAATCATTCCTACTACATGTATTTGCCGTTGATTCGATAAACAAAGCTTCTGTTATCAATCTCTCCCTCGCTTCACTCTGTGACATTAGATTTTAAAACTGTCATCCTATCCCATCCATCCTATTGTATGGTTGTGTGTAAGTGCATGTAGTCAGTGGTATAGCTGAACTATTCTCTAGATTTCTTATCTTATTTGGGTCAACCAACCTAGATTTTGCTAAGTTTTTATGTTCGGCTAGTCTGACTGCCCCTGTTCTACTAGTTTGACCTATGTATTTGACCTCACAATCATTGCAGGCAGAGTATTAGATAAACTGAATTGTTCTGTTTTAAAGGCTCCACAGGACCGATACTTTAACCGACAAAGTTTGTTTCTAATTGAGTTTGTGGTTGGTTTGAATGCCAGCCACTTTTATTCCTACCTTGTTAAGTATTCTGGGCAAGGCTTCCGAGGTTCCTTCCTTGTATGGAATTACTGCTGATGATTTAGATTCCTTATTGTTGGTGTTGTCATTAATATTATTATTATTATCATTACTATCACTATTATCATTATTAATTTTATTTTTACATTTACTTACATATTTCTCGACTAATTTATCCGGGTAGTTATGATGTTTCAAGGCTTCTTTTATGTGTATCACTTCCTGTCTTAGATTTTCCTTGGTACTACTTAGTTTTTGTGCTCTGTCATTTAAACATTTGAATCATCCTATTTTTACTGACATAGGATGGGATGATCGGAAATCCAAATATCTGTTTGAATGTGTGGGTTTTCTGTAAACACTAATGTTTAACTTCCCATCTTCTTTCCTTTTTACGTTGCAATCGAAACGTCATCCAGTATACAATACTGTTTCACCGTGTGATACATCTAATAAACAAACTAATATGATAATAAATTTGTTGAAAAGAGTCTCTTTGCTGAATCGCTTATCATGACTTTCTACAGACATTTCTCTCAATTATGATAATTAGCACCACATTACCTCCCTTAACCGATCATTCTGTTTATCTTCTTATTACTACATTTTTAATGCTTAATTGCACAATAAAAGTCAATTTTCACAATAATTATTATCGCACTATGTTTTTTTAATCCGATCTTCCTGTTTATTATCACATTTTATTAATTTGACCCTTCACCAGAAACAGAGTTCTGAAACTGTCTCATTCATTGACTATATAAACACACACGAATGTACAGCCCAGTTGATGATGATTTCGTCGAGAAGCGAATTTCCCTTACATATATCTGGCGTGTAGCTACTGGCAAGACTTATCAATCAGTAGTATATATGCACATTTAGTTAAAACGCAGCCACAAATTAAAAGCAATATTAAAGTTGATGGCTGCAGAGGTAGCCGTGTTTATTCCTCAAATCTGAATTTGGTTTACGTTGTGGTCAAGAAGTAATCTCATTGGGTAGATGTTTCGTCTCAAGGTTTAACTTTAGGAAAATCGACAACCAATCAGAACAGTTTATTATCCGCTAACCCAGCCGACCTTTAATGCGGCTAGAAATGTGTGCATATAGTGTGGATTCCTTAATAATAAATAGTCCGCTACGAAGTCTCCTGTCTTCTCCTATTACACACAGAGCTGTAGAAAGGGTTATTTTCTATATTAGAAGTTGGAAAATTTCCCATAAGTATCCAAATAAGCTGATTTTCCTAGTGATAAATTAAGTTATTAAGAATCTTTATAGTCATATCCAGTATATGAAATATATGACATTTTAACCTCTATTATTAACTTTGAAGAAAGTTACCGATTTCACTCACCACTACGTGAACAGTACAGCACACACGAGGATATCAAAGCCAGCCAGTGTGTATCGGAAATGCAAGATTTACGGCCCTTCGGGTCATTTAAATCAGTATGAAAATCTACTGTACTCAGCTTCAACGTAAGGGAGCAAGATCCGAGTTTTCAACACTAATAGCAAGCCAAAGGTTGGGGAGCAATTGACTTACGCGTCCTGAAAAGCGTATTTCCAAAAGGCTACCGCAGACTTTCATCTACAACTGACTTCGCTAGCTTCACTAACTAAAGATCAGATAGCTCATTAGGAAGGATACACGAAAAGGAACTCTATCAACGAACCAAAGTAGAACCTATTACCCGAGAAATATGACAAAAAAAAATATGGAGATGGTTAGGACATACACGCTGAGAAGACAGTCGGGTGACATTATTCCCCCGAGAGACCCTAGTCTGGGAGCCGAATGAGAAAGGACGATTTAGAAGAGGGTCTACGGGTGATACAGGAGAGATCAGGTGGTGGGACAGGAAATGAAAGCTTGACGGCAGTCATAGAACCAACCGGTTGAGATCGATGGGGAGACACCTTAGTGATATGTGGCTAAGAGCCAAGGCTCTACGCTTGGAAAATAAGGAATTCATGCTACAAAGAAATATTCTCCATATCATAAAGACACAGTGTTCAGCTTACCCGATCCAAATTCAGCAGTCTACAAATTTGTAAACTACGCGTAAAATAATCCCGTAAAGGAGTGTACGATATCGAAGTCAAATAGGAAAACAGGCTACGAAATTCTTTCTCCAGTTGGACAGCTCCAAACTAGTTTTTGTTTTAAAAAATAAGAAAACAAAATAAACAATGAGATATGTAACAACAGAAGACAAGGGCGAAGCAACAGAACGTTTTATTATGAAAATCAACACGTATTTATATATATTTCACATACATTATTATAGCTTATGCAAGTAGAAACAGCGCAGTCATCTGATTGGTTGCAGACCAACGCAGGCTTCTGATTGGTTGTTTCGGGATTCCTTGACAAATAGAGTTCTCTATCTGCGAATCATATTTTGCCACGTTAACTTTGCTGTGATTGGTTGTTGAATCAGCCTTGTTCATATTTTCTCACGGCCCATATTAGTGACCTAGACATTAACGTAGATTAGTGTCAACCAATCGGCTAGCAGCCTGCTCTCACCATAGATATATAAAAGGATGATTTACAAACTATGACGATTAGAAAACAAATCTAGAAGGTAAGCTATAGACATCGAATAAGCGTGAACGCACCTTGTATCAACCTTGTATCACATTCACTGTGGAGAGCAAGGCGAAGAAACTAGATATTGTCACTTTATTATCGTTTTTCATGAATTCTGAGCGGAACATTAGGCTTTAACCGAGGTAAATCTCCATTTTTCCCTAATGTCTGCAGTCCACTTCAGTTGACTTCACACGACAGACCATAATTGCTCATTTCCTTCACATCACACGATCTCTTTTCTCTTACCTTAGCAGCCATACTGTGAACTAACCGTTCCCCATTTGGCTTCCACTAGAGGGATAGTCTGGAGTGGGATATCATTCAGCGCCTCCTTAGTGTGTGTTCTACTCATCTCCATTTTTTTAAAGCATATTTACTGAGCAACAGGTTCCTGATTGGAATTTATACACAAGTGTAGCGGGTTCAAGTTGACACACTCTCCATATAGCACACAAAGGAAGACAGGAGACAAAGAGAGAGAGAGAGAAACACGATCAAAAAGAACTACAGTAGGTACAAACATGTGTGTGTGTAACGTGGAAAAACATGAGGATTTTATGCATCTGGAAGATCACACAAAGGGTTAAGCTGATACGTTCTTTCTCCTTGATTGGTTCGTTCCTCGCCGGAGTATTTTGTGGTTAATTCTTTCTGGGTAGCCATCGGTCATCTGATCTTCAGTATAGAGTCATCGACGGGGGCAGCTGTTGGTAAAATTCTGCAGTTTAGCCTGTTCAAAATGCATTTTGTGACGCACTGGTGAGGTTTGTGACCTAAATAGAAGAAGTGACTGACTTAGGATTGGTGTTGATAATCCGGATTTCGTTCTTCCCACACACAGTCTTCCGCATAATTCAGTCCACAACCACAATTACGGATATCAGCAGTGAAAGTGGGCACCCTTGTCCAACTCATGGGTTTACTTCAAACACCTCAGTGAGTTTTCTATTGAGGATCACCTAACACGTGGCATAATCATAAAGCTGTTGAATGAGGTCGATAGAGATTTGGAGCTTTGCACTGTATAGTGCAGAAATAGTTTGCAAATTACGTCACTATGAACGCTTTCGAAGGCCCTTTCATCAAATTCGATGATGTTTAAGGATGAGTTCTGTCTGATGCCATTCTATGATGATTAACAGAACACTGCATATATAAATATATATACCCCTCCCCCCTTTTAAACTGTACAGCTTTGAAGTGTGAATTTACGAAAATTAAGATCTCTCTCTCTCTCATTGTTGCTGATTCTTCATATGTTCTTAAAGACATAGCATCCTTTGAATAACACACCACTCTCTCAACACAAGACACATTTGAAAAACAAAACAAAAAACCTCTTTTTGTTTATCACTTACTCGACTAAACGACTTCCGTTGGATAAGTTGGTCGACTTGACGTAGAATTTCATTAATTAATATTAGTACAAGTTTGTCGTTATTTTCAGTGGATAAAACAGACTGGATAAATAATAGGGGAAAAGAAAAATTAAAAGTTAGACCTTTTATTATTGCAGTAATTATCATGTCATTACTGAAAAAAAACACAAACTTCGTACATTACGGACACCGCAAAATTTCTTACTTCTTGGGAGGGATAGGACAGACTGACAGCCTAGACACACGTACCGAAGCAGGCAATTATCACGATGTAAGGGGCCACACCCACTGGCCGATCGTTTGTCTCTTGAAGTCTGATCCATAAAGCGGTGCATTGGAGCAGTGTCAGGTGTGGCAACCACGTTCTCATGGTTTCTCTGGTGACCAAAACACATCCAAAAAATACCATTCGATCCCTTCGAATTCTTCAGCCCATATAATTGTAATAAGCTGTGTAATTTAATTTTTTAAATTTTTATTATAGCTTGATTCCACCCAGTATTTTAGTACAGCTATGGAATTTTCAGCATGCGATATCGGTAGCTCAAATTTAGCAGGCCGACCATTGATATTAGGTGTACGCTGGCCGATGATCGAACCCCGGACCATGTGCATGGTCGGCGAGTGTCCTCACTGACGTGTCAACGACGCTGGTTACGCTTCAGTCGAGTGTTGCGCAAGGAGGGGAAATCACTCAACGAGGTTGTAAAGCAGCTGTGTCGATTGAGATGGTTAGGACATTTGCTATGTATGCCTAGCCATCATCTTCGTCGATGTGAAATATTAAAGTGTTAAACTGCTGAAGAGTCCCAAACTAGGACGAAACAGCTGTCCAGTACTCCCAGGTTTTCCAATGGTTCTCTAACTAATGTCAGCTCATGATGAAATCCTGAAATATTAAAAGCTGACATAGGATTAGGATGGAAAAGAACTAGTGGTGGTCAGGGACTTCACGCTCCCTTCCTGTAGGTAGCAGGACAGTATGTCCACGAATCTAATTTTATGACCGTCATATGTTCAGAGTCGCCTTTTCATACTTTTATGAGCAACATTTCATCATCTTACGTTTAACAGGAGCGAACCTCATGCCAAACAATCGAAGATTGCTGCTCAAGCTGTTCAAAAGGCTCTGCATTTTATCAGCATCTCCACCTAGGAAGACTATACCAAATCCGCACAATCTGAATCAACGAAATTATACCCTGGTAACAAGTCAACCACTGAGTCACTGACGTCAGTTATGGGGATACTGGGCATCCTTGACGAACACTAATCGTTGTCATCGTTACTTCAACTTACTGCAGCTTTTTATTTGGCTGGATGAGTTCGAGTAGAGTGCCTTGATCAGTGCGATGTATTTTCTGACATTCCCTTCACAACCAAACACTGCCATAGTACCTCTCGGTCGACGGAATCGAATGCCGCTTTCAGGTCAAGAAATATGACAATTGTTGGACGCTGTTATATTCCAGAATCCGTCAAAGGGTGGAGATATGATCAATACATCCTATTCCTGGTCTAAAGAGCCCAAATTCTAGGTTTGTCACATTTCAACTTCCCACTCTCTGCTGAGACTGGGGAACTAAGGACATCAACAGATGTTCACAAAATTACAAAAACAGAAAACTACAAAACATGGATAGGGGTTGGAAATTTACCCTGAACGGTTTAAGAAAGTCTTCTGTATGAGCTATACATGATTCAATCCACGGGTCGTTAGCAGCCAAAACATCTAAATCTTCCTATGACCAAAAAAAAATACAATACAGATATCTCATCACCTGTCAATCAATACAATGAATATTTAAAAAAATGTCCTAATTTTATACATTAAACTGAACAGCAAGTTTTGTTCCCACCTTCTTTCATGTTTATGTCAAGTGGACACTGAACAACCGACCACCACTGCATTATTCTTAGCTAATAACAACAACTTATACAACCGGCTCTCTACATTAGTTTGAGAAAAATAAAAAACGAACATATCTGCAGGATAATAAGAGCTCGTTTTATCTTGCAGATTGACGGGCTGGCTATGGGTTCACCTTTAGGTCATATTCTTGGCTTATCTTGAACAGACGTGAATGAAGACGTAAATAGAGTGAACTACCCATTACTGCTGAAGGTATGTTGAAGACATGTTTGTGGTTAGCAATAGCATGGACCACAGATACACGATTTTTGTAAAATTCAATGCGTCTCATTCCCGCATTTCATTTACAATGGATCATGAATACGATAATCAGTTCTGTTTCCTAGAACTCGACATAAAAATGAATAATGATGGGCCGATTGAAAAATCTCTGTATAGGAAAGAAACTTGAACTGGTCAGTACCTAAATTATTCCAGCTTTCACACAGTCAGTTACAAACTGAACCCGATGAAACGCATTTTAGCAAAATTAGGGCGATATGTTCAGAAGATAAGAGTGAAGAACTGTCAATTATTAAGCAGAACCTAACTATGGAAGTTTGTGAGTTGTCCGTTCCATTTTGGCTTTCTGTGGATGGATCCGTTTAGTCTTAACAAGGTAGGAATAAAAGTGGCTGGCATTCAAACCAACCACAAACTCAATTAGAAACAAACTTTGTCGGTTAAAGGATCCCGCGGAGCCTTTAAAACAGAACAATTCAGTTTATCTAATACTCTGCCTGCAATGACTGTGAGGTCAAATACATAGGTCAAACTAGTAGAACAGGGGCAGTCAGACTAGCCGAACATAAAAACTTAGCAAAATCTAGGTTGGTTGACTCAAATAAGATAAGAAATCTAGAGAATAGTTCAGCTATACCACTGACTACATGCACTTACACACAACCACACAATAGGATGGATGGGATAGGATGACAGTTTTAAAATCTAATGTCACAGGGTGAAGCGAGGGAGAGATTAATAACAGAAGCTTTGTTATCGAATCAACTGCAAATACATGTAATAGAAACGATTAAACATCTGTCCCAGATATATGGAAAATTCTACTACCTCTACGACGACAAACAGGAGGACAAAGAAAACTATAAAACTCAAGTTTCGAAGTCGTGTAATTATAATTGATATGATTATTAACAATAAATTTTGTTCGAAACGTCATCCAGTAAATAATACTGTTTCACTGTGTGATATATCTAATAAACAAACTAATATGAAAGTATTCAATCTTGTTACATCCGTTAAGTTGAATAAACTCTAATTCTAGTTTAGTTGAATTCTACTCAATCCCGTCAACTGTATTACATCATTTGCTTTACTTATTTAGTTTTATATCAGTTTCTAACCGAATGAGGCTTTTTTGTACGCAATTTTTATCTAAAATTTACAATTTTAATGACAAGCGCCTTCGGTAATATTCCTTTGGTCGCTATTAAAATTAACTACACATATATATGCGATTGTACAACCTGAGAAAGATACTCCCCACTGGGAGTTTTTTTTTATTTGACTCAAAGGGGGCTTTGTCAGTCGTGGTATTTATTGTGAATTGATAGGTATTAAAATGATCGGCCGGCCTTTGGATTCCGCCTTAGTAACTCATTGATCAACGAGCACGCTATGTAACCTGATGGCAGCTGCGTACCGTCGACGAGTTTCAAATTGGGAAGATGAAACAGCTGTCCACTACTCCCTGCTGGTGGTATCCCAATGGTGGTCCTGTAACTGCTACGTCAGATCGTGATCCAATCATGACAACAATCAAATCCCACTATGCAAACCGGCACTTGGATATGATACGTGATAACTGGCCACCGTAAAAAATAGTGGGTATTAAGAAACGCAGCCACAAAAAAATTGTCTTATATTTTGTACAAGGGTTACGATAATTACTACCTGTAGAGCCCAAACGGAACGAAGTGTCAGTTTTCTTCAGAGGCCAAACCCCAAGACTTTAATTTGAAATGTGATCCACAAGGCAGAGGAGGAGCGTCAGGAGCTGCTGCGTACCTATGGTTTCCTGTGACCAAAGAAAGTTTATACGCCCAGAATTGTTATCAGATGGTTGCAAACTTGAATGCCGACAGAATTCAGTCTGTATCAAAATAAAGGACTAGGCATATGCCAACAGTTACATACTACCTAGTGTCTAACCGAAGATCATAAGCCATTGAATCCTTTAAGGATTTCGTAGCACATGTCTACTGAAGTTTGGAATCAACCAGTTTACAGTGTGCCCTAGGTTGTAAACTAACATGTCCGCCAAACGTTCGCATTCAGCCTTTCATACTCTTTTATGAGGAATTCCTTTTCTACGCTGCATGAAGGCGGCAGAGGAAGCTACGAAAGCGTAGCAGCCACGTGAGAGAGTATTCCGAGAGAGAGGAAGACCGAAGTCTACCACCACCCACACTCAACCCTGCCAGGTCGTTTATGTGGCGGGAGGCAGAGACATAAACAAGCAATCAACACAGTTTTCACTTACCTCGAGTAAATCATATTTCAGCGATTTGAAACCACTTAGGAGGCTTTTAACTTGACTTTGTACTACTGCAGTTGACAGGTGATCGAAGGCTGAATCAAGTAGTCGTTGAAGTTGTTCACCTATTGACATATTCAACTCTGTGATACACATCTTGAGACAAAACACACAGAAAAAATAAATAGGGGAAGTGAGAAAAATGAAAATTCAAGGAGAGAAGCTATTATTTAAATCAATTTGGACTTTCTTTTTGATTGGTTTGACCGAAGTGTCCTGCTTCTGTTGATATGTCGGCTTATTGTACGCATGCTTTGACGATACACAAGAGGTGCCTCTCGTGACCCGAGTGGTCTAGTGGATAACGCTTTGGTGTTTGAAACGATGGGTACTGGGTTCAAGCCTCCATGGGAACATTATCACTCACCCGGGAAATCCAAGCATATTTAACTGAAGACTAGTCCTAAATAGGACGAAACATGCATCCTGGATTCCACCACTGCTAGTCACCATTCACCGATTCACTTCAGTGTGAGGCTACTATTGAGAGTTAACTCCTACTTTGTATAACCTGAATGTATCTTCCCATTTTATTGCGATTCCCATTCAGTATTCTACCTGACAATAAGTAATTCACACAAATCCCTAGGGAAACCGAAAATGTTTGAGTTTTAGCCTTGTGTACTTAGGAAAGTATATGTGCGGGGAACAGGGGACCATTAATACCCAACTGCTCATTCCGCAGCTCAGTTGGTTACAGGGTAGTGCTATTCACACGAATGCCAACGGGTTCGATCATCTCCGGAGTCAGTGATTTGTGCTCCCCGATTGTATAATGGTGAGTGTCTCCACCTGTCACGTGAAAGGGCTGGATTCGATCTCCGTTCGAGGAGCATGGCTTTTACACGTCAGTGGTGCAGCATCTTCAGGCACGTCGCAAGTGGTTTGGAGTTCGATCCGTGGAAACTGATGCATTCCTATTCACCTGACTTGACCTGGGGTTAAGATGGAAGGTTGAGCGTGAGGCTAGCAACCCCACTCCGTAAAAATAAGACTACTTGAAGCTCTATGTCTCACTCGGAACATAAGGAAAAAAATACTTTTAAAAAAGAACTATCAAATGCCTCTACATCATAGAAGTTGAGTTTTTCTCTAAATACTTGAAGCAGGAGTATTACAGTCCCCTGACTACAGAGTCCAGCATACACAACTGCTTGACGGCCAGTTTGAATTGTGGCTTCCAAGGCAGAGACCAGCAGTAGCAAGTTTCTGTGAAGGAAGTCGGGCAGTGAAAATTTCGAGGTCAAGCTTTTGTAAACATATCCTTCCATCCCCAGAGAAGAAAGGAATTTTAATTGGGTCGCTGTTAGCCTGAGATAAAAATACCTTCCTCCAGTTTCATCCGTATACTGGCTAGTGAAAGGAATTCACTCCATATCGAAAATAAGATGCTCAATCAGAAAGAATTAGCAACAAGAAACTCTGGGAACGAAACGATAGACAAGAATCTACTGCCTACTCAACGAACATCCAGAAGAAAATGGAGACGAATGCATCAGACACACACTGAGACCGTTGGATGATATTCTGTGCTAGGCCAACGTTTGAATGGAACTGGAATTGGAAACGACGAGTTGGAAGTCTGAGGGTGACATATAGGAAATCGCGTGAGGTGAAGCTATTCATGATAATTACTGACATACTGTACGAGTGATATTGCAACAAACAAGAAAATCTACAGACAAACAAACAACGGCAAGTTGGCAGAAGTGGCTGGTAACAGAGACAGGACACAACAGGTGCACATAGCGAAAACAAAGGTGACGAAGATACCTAACCAACCGACCAACCAACAACAATTTAGCCACCATGAACGGGAGAAATTTGACTTGTCTAGGCAACGTCGTTTTAACTATATATGCAAGAGCATAGATGACGATGTCAAAGTCAGTCAGGACTGGAAGGGCAAGACAAGCGTTCCATAATCTAAAATCAGTGTGGAAGTCTCCCGCACCTAAGTATAAAGAACAAAATTCAGATTTTCCACATCAATATCAAGTCAGTCTGTGCTTCTAGACGGTTCAAAGGCTTGGTGTGTTACCGAAACCATTCTGAACAGGCTTCCATTGCTTCAGGAGGGATAAGCAAAAAAAGAACTTTGGCGAATTTCAAACAAACAACCTACCACCCAGTGAACAAATATGCTGAAGAAAGTAGAGATGGATGAGATACAGGCTGAGAAGACCGTTGAGTGACATATCCCGCCAAGCACACCATTAAGTCGAACCTGAATGAGAGGAAATACGTTAGACATGTGTACAAGGGTAACGTGAAGGAGGTGAGAGCCTATGGGCAATCGTGGAGCCAAATAAAAAGGGACTGTAGAGAATAGAATGAAATGGAGATATGCCTTAGCAAAAGCCCTCCCATCTATGTTTCACTCGGAACCTAAGGGTATAATAATAATAAATAACAATGGACTAAATAATGTCATAAATCAGTACCAACAAAAATCCATAAGACCTACATGAAGTTTTTGAAAATTATTCTCTTGATTTTGATACACTGAAGTCAACTCCTTCTCTAAATGATTCACTAAAGCCTGCAAATTCTTTTGACATGCTTCAATACTATTTATACTAATTAGGAAATGATAACGTGCCAGTGAATTGGATCCACCGACTACATTGTTGAATGCTGAGGAGATTGTTGGCACGTTGACAGCTGATCCTGTTGAACTAAGTGTACCACCCGCTGAAAGTGTGTGTAAGCAAGACGATTGAAGAAAAAAAAGTTAAAATTCATTTTTTATATATACCAAAATACATTTTAAAATAGATGATAACATAGTGAGGAAGTAATGTGTGTATTTTATCCTCCATGATGTTCCATACTAGTTTGTGGCTCTTCAACAGTACGCATCCATGGACCCACCAAACAGGGATAGAAAATGCAGGACCATCAGACTATGATGTCCGGGCCCGTTAACCATCCAGAGACTATTTTGTTTTTTTCCCGTACATTTCTGCTAATTATAGTTCTTTTGAATCCTTTTTTCTTGGTTTATGTGTTTCATATAGTATGGCAACTCGAACTGCTATACTTATGTGCTAATTTCTCAGTCAGTGCCTTTCGTCTTTCTTGGGACTCGTTAGGGGCTGATGATAGTGTTCTCATTAAGACTCGAACTCAGCATCCATAGGTTTTGTGCATCGAAACCTTATATCCACTAGACCATTACCCCATGAAATAATGCTCTGACGTTCGAAACGATGGATTGACTGGCTACAAGACTCAATGTGAATACACTGATAGGACGAAATGTTCGTACTGAATTCCACTAGGCAGATGATATGAAACAAATTAAATAAATAAATATTGTCACGAACTGACTATTCAGGTACAAAACCACCACCACCACCACTAAAAACTACCAGAGAGTACTGGACAGCTGTCTCGTCCTTCTTATGGGACTCCTCTTCGGCAATACGCACCTATGACCAAATCACTGTAGATTGAAGGCAAGATTTTCACAAGTACCAAGGCGGAATCATTCACAGTCAATTGGATGGAATTCAAGGACAAAATCAACTGTAACTTTTATCAGTTTTCGTGGGATAAACAGAATTATCGCCATTTAATGTCATCACCGACTATTCATCGTAATATCTAACGAGTTGGTGAGAAAACCCCTCTCCCCTCCCGAGCTGGGCACAAATACCCACCACTAAAACGTCTTCTTTTGATCGGTCACTATTCAGCTAGAGAAACATCACGAATTGATGGAAGTTAGGATCACTGTTCCATTAGATTTTATCCCAAGTGGCTAAGTGATCAGTGAGCTTGTGTTGTAACCTTAAGGCGCTGGGTTTTGATCCCTAGAATGATGTGGCTGAAAAAGAGACCCAAACAATGAAGATAAAACAGTTGTCCAGCCTTGCTGGTTTCCAATAGTTCCCTAGCTGACTACGTCTCATTTGAGTTTAGATATTCGGTCGATGAAGCTTCGCTATCTCACCACAATATATCTATGTAAAACTAGTACTGGAGATGTCAAATGTAGCTTAACGATGAAACAAGGTTCATGATCAAATATCTACACCTTCAAACATCTCCAAAGAATTTCTGTTTACATTAATAACTAGATATCTTCATATGATAATTTCGTACATATAGTTTTATTTTAAGTCTGTTTGGTGTCTCACATCTTGGATGCAATGACTACTGTTTTCATAGGATACCTACCTCGCATATGACAGTTATTCTAATTTTTCTTTTTTTAAAACACAAACATGATACATTATGAGCACCAAGGGGTGATCCACACGAAGTGTCATAGTTTTTCCGACCGCTAGGATACCGAGATCGAAGAAGGTGGTTGCTGCCTTAAGAGGCCACCCTCCCTCATTAGCCTATCTATGACTTGAAGACTGTTCCACAAGGAGAAACGTCAGGAACAGGAGGTAGCTTACCATAATTTCTGGTAGGCGAAACAGGTTTATTATGACATTTAATCTTTTCGGATTCTGAAGTCCATGTATACACCACCATAGGTTTGGTATAATCAGGGTTTTCCACCTCCTCCAGGGTGGTAGACCTAAATGTCTAACAGTAGTCCGGATGTGTAATCGCCTGACCTTCAAATTCTCCCTTTCATACTTTTGTGTCAATAACTTTCCCAATGCAGTATGAAGGCGGTGAAAAGTACAACTTACCTGGCAGAAGAGGCTATGAACGTATGTGGCCACATGAGAGCATTTTGAGAGATAGGAAGACCAAAGTCTACCCACCGTCGAGCGTATCAGATCACTGATGAATGCCTATATCTAAGTAACAACTGGAATCCGATAATAGATGTTCAAGCAAACTGCGAGATAGATATGATATCAGCTCTCCTATGGGTCATACACATCTTTCACTACATGTCATTTCTTGAAGGAAACCATATATATATATATATATATATATATCAGTGAAAACTTAATATTTTCCTTGTATAATAAACAATTCAGCGAAGAGGCTCAGTTATCGGCAAATACATTCCTCTCTCTAGAGCTGCACAATTGAACGGTAGTAACAAAAGTGATGAATTGTTGTTGCAAACATAGTTAGTTGTTAGTGTTAGTTTATGCATAAAAGGAACTACATGAGTCTATAAGAGTCACGTAATAAGATGAATTATTTAGTGAGTGGATGAGTTGTAATCAGGATGCACATAGAAGCGTAGGGAAATATAGTATCAAGTATTGGTTTTGTAGGTAATTTTGTTTGATTGGTTGGAGGATTTCATCATGAACTGATATCAGTTAGAGAACTATTTGAAAAACTGCAGGGAGTACTGGACAACTGTTTCATCCTAGTTTGGGACTCTTCAGCGGTACGCACCAACAGCCACACATCGAACCCGGGACCTTCTGGGTACAAGGCGAGCTCGTATACCATTAAGCCACTGGGACCCAATCTAGTGGCCCATGAATTCTAACTTCCGCCAATTCATGACATAGCGCGACCATTTCGCAATGTTTTCTTCGATGGTTCTGCAACTGGTGTCAGCTCATGATGAAATCCACCAAACAAATATAGTATCAGTTGAGAATTATACAGAAATACAAGAGTTATAAGGGGTTAGAAAAAACAAACAGGAATCAAGTCAGTAGAAATCAACGATGAGCTTGTTACCAGTGTGGTAGTAGAAGTGGTTGAGTAATTTTCCTTCGTACGCGGAGCTCCGATTTCTCTATCTGAATGGCTAAAGCTGCAGCAATGCAGCCAGGAGACGAAAGCGTATTTTTTGTCTTTAGCAGATTGTTCCTCACAATTTGTAGAGAGAGGCCTTGTTTGAGATGGAATGATCAGTGTTGACGAGATATCCAATTATCACACTCCTTATATATTCACTGCTGCCTTTCCGCAACCTTATAGGATAGTGTTGTTGAACCCTTCTTTTAGATAGGATACGCGTCAAACGATCAATGTACCTGGCTCTTTCTCTTGTGCATCATTATAGTTCTGACGAGTCTCGATTCCTCCTCGCTTACTTGATGTGCTACATGGAGTTCTAGAGACTCCAGATTCAGTTAGTAAACAACAAGGTCACAAGAAAAACCACATTCTAAAATCTGCATGCGATAGGGGGGCAGGGGAAACAAAATGTATAAACTACATGACGGTAAATACACATACATATACATACGCATCCTACCTGCAGCAACACTATTCTGTACATAACTATAAGCATCTTGTACCCAACCTGAAGGGAAACCAGCACGAACACTATTTGCCAATGTATCATTGACCATACGATCAGTGAGAATTGAACAACTATGATTCACCATAGCACAGATACTATCCACGTTACCAGATTGAAATGATCGACTAGTATGGTGCAAAATTAAAAAAAGAAAACATATTTTAGTGCAAGCATTGACATCAAAAGGAAATTTTGTAGAAAAATATCTAAGGAGAAAAATCAATATACTCTTTAAAACAACTTGGATGTGCTGATAAAAAGAAACAACTATACCTGTAAATCTGATATTCAAAGGAGATAAAATTAATGACTAATTAGTGAAGTTCTCTGAAGCCATCTGTCAACAGCAATTCGAAAGAATGTTCTTTGCTGTAGCATCTCTACGTCTAAGTTTTATTTTTCACCAAAACGTCAAAGAGCCAAGATCTCACCACCTGTTGGCAAATTCAATGTGTATTCACCAAGTCCCTCATTCTTGTGGAGTTTAGTACATAGGCAGTACAAGCATGACTTTGTCTCGAGGAGCTGGCTCAGCTGCCGAAAGGCTAACACAGTCAACTGTCAGTAGCTCAACTCTACAGGACATTATTCCTTCTGATCACGCAGCATCTATCAGCATACACTTCTTTCAGTCATGTAAATGTGTAAAGTATGACCGATAGGACTTTGTCTACATCTGTTTCATGCAGCACAATCCATAGGGCGAATCCAGCCTCTTTTACTACCATGTAAATGTAAAATTTGTTTTGATGAATTATTACGCAATAATCGTTCTAACACATTTTCAATCATAGGAAAACTTGGGAGTACTGGACAGCTGTTTTGTCAGTCTAGTTCGCAACTCATCAGATGTATGCACCCACCACTAGGGTTCGAACCCACGACCTCCCGATCACAAGCCAAGCTTGTGAATCTATTAATGTCACTGGGATCCGACTCAGTGGCCAGTTCGTGAATTTTAACTTCTACGCATTCATGATTTTAGCACGACTGGGATCAGCGCCAATGTCATCGGAGGTGAGTATTTCTCTTCACTCCTGACCATTTGATGCACCACACTGGTTACGACTTCTCACTAGAACACGCCGGGTCATTGATTCGAGTCCCAGTGATTGAATGGTGATCTACAGGGTTTCCTTGTAACCAGAAGGTCCCAGGTTCGAACCCTTGTGGTGGGTGCTTTCCAGTACTTCAATAGTGGTGGCTTTTAATGGTTCTCTAACTTAAATCAATTTGTAATTAAACTTAACGAACTATTTGTTAACTCCCGCGATTACGTAAGACTATTCACTAGTCTTTCACAGAACGTTCTCTTTCTTATACACTTTGATTTGAATTATTTTCTTACTAACTGATAATAATCTCCAACCTTTGGGTTGTTAAATGTCATTTGTACATCACATATAAACCCCGAAAAGAAGAGACCTCTCTCTTTCCTGCCGAGTGATGTGTTCATAACTATACATGACATGAGAATATCTCATATCTTAAATTAATATCCAATTAGTGCACCTACTGTGAAAACTGTAACTACAGGCATTCATATCCCATACTTGAATGATAAGTTGTCCTTGGTGTTGGAGAGTGAGCAGACTGAATTAACTATCAGTCAAGTTATCAGTGTGGTCAAACCAAATTAGAAGACATGTTATCGTAGTGCACTCTGAGTTGATTGATATTAGATGGTTGGAGGCAATCACCAAGAAGCCCAATTTGGACCTATGTTTCGTGCTTATAAACATTCTTCAGTCAGCAAGGCATATCTGAAATCTTGAATGTACTCATGTTTTTCCTATAGGGGACATTTGAAGGCACTTTACCAGATGTCGTATTGGCCAACCTGCATTATCTCTGTCGTAAACATGATAACCGCCTATCGACCAAACAAAGTGTGTGCTGCACAGCAGAAACAATTTGCTCCGTCCTTCTTTATGCATGCGAGTGAGACATAGCCATGGAGAGTCGAAGATACGACGATCTATTTCCCATCATACGTGTCTCTGTTTTATCTCACCTGTTATCTACTATAATAGGGTGAGAAACATTCACGTTAGGCATGGAGTGTTGGGTAAGGAGGGAAAGTCAATCGATGAGCTTGTGGAGCTACATCGATTGAGAGATGGCTAGGACACGTGTTATGCATGGCTATACATCGCCTTCCTTGACGAGAAATGTTAGCCAATAACATAGGTTGGTAAAGAGCTAGTGGTGGTTAAATCCCAAACTAGGAATCATTCCGTAAAACCTTCAACAATTAGTGCGAGCAAGCCAATTAAGGAGGTGTAGACTGTTTGGTTGGTCGGGATCATCGAGATACTACGAACTAATGAAAGCTGCAAACAGTTAGTGATATGGCTCAAGAACTTCATCCTCAATGGCGGAGATGAGTGATTCTATGTGATCGCATATACTCAATAAAACCCTATTGAATTTTCATGTTACTACTATCTCACCCTCAGGCTTCTGCCTATTATCGTCCTTTTGAATCCCTTTTTGTCTGTTTGTTTTTCTTTGTGTGCTACATGGAACGTCGCGACTCGAACTGGTGCACTTCTATGTGAAGTTATTTTATGTTTAGGACAGTCAGTCAGTCAGTCACCCAGTGCTGCAGTCCGATATGACGTTAACACTGAGCTAATTTAGTCTCACAATCAACCTCCTGTAGACATGAGTAACATTGGGTGGGTGGGTGGGGGGATTGAAGAAGAAGAGATCCTTTAAGGTTCCAGATGCTCCTAACAAAGAATAAAATCTAGGTCAGTCAGTCAGTCAGATAGCACTATCTTCTGCCGATTGCCTCCAACCATTTAACAGATAGTAGGTGTCTTTTTTGTCACAGAAGACACCGCCTCTGTTGTTATGCCTACGTGCAGTAGTATTACAGGCATACACTCATACAGTGTACTCCCATGTAACTGTTTTCATCAAATTTAAATAAACTCAACTTAGTAGTACAAAAAATAAGCGTGAGATTTCATTGCATTGGACTCAGTAAACTTGTTATTTACGTTGAGGATAGTTCCTTTCGCCATTTTCCGACTAGGATAAACTGGATTTATAAAGAAGGCGTATATACGTAGAGATGTGCTACACAAAACGGATGTCTCATAGTTGTTAGTGTTACAATGCTGTGACACTGTTCAGACTCTTTCTGTGTATAACTGTGTGTGTGTGTATATATGTGTCACTTCTAGTCAATATTTATCAAGTTTGAAATCTCTCCTATCACTAACTGACGTCAAGCCATCACACTAGCAAGTATGTAGAAATTCTTCTGTAGATAAAATTAATTCATTTTTGGTTTTAAGCCATACAAACAGCTGATGAGAAGCCGGCGAAATAAACAATGATGGTACCATCTTATATTTTGTACAAACAGCTGCTGTATTTACCTAAGTAAGAAGTATTATTATTTTAATGTTGTCCCTTTGAGTTCTAAGTGGAACGTAGGGAGGGCTTCGATCGAGGACACATTTCCATTGCATTGTCTTCTCAACAGTCGTCTTTAAGCTAGGTACTACGATTGCCAATAAGCTTTCATTTCCCAATCACCAATAAACAACATTCTACGTGTCACTTTTGGAGACAATGACCAACTCATAATTTCTCATTTCAGGAGTGATGTCAATCGACCATCTTCACGCACTGTGTCCGAGCCTTTTTCCATTTTCGCCAGCATCGTTGTTGCGTAAGTGGTTCCTTGTCTAATCTGAAAATTCTTAAACCAGAGAAGACGACTATCGATCAGCTTAAACCCATTGGTTGTTGAAGCCATTGTGATTGAACAACTTTTAATGACGATGACACTAAGTACGATCAGTTTTATTGGCTATTTATTAGCTTAACTTCTAGAGGTACACAATGTAGTGTAGTTTTTTTGTAGGGCATAAAACAGATTGTTCTCACTAACTGGGACCAATCTATCTTCCATCCTTTATTTAAGTGGATACTGAAGGGATTAGAAGTAACTGGAAACTAATTTTGGATATTCGATCTTCAGATGAGTTACATGTTGCCTTACTCATAGTGTATTCAAGCCTAGTCAGATAGAGGAGAGACTTTTATCAGCAGCTGCCATCGTTTTATACTGAAGATCTGATACACTGCCAGAAGGGATTAGAAAAAAGGCACTCTGTCAAGAACCTATCATCCAACGCATATGCCGAAGAAAATGGAGATAGACCGGACATACACTCTGAGAAGAACATTGAGTGATATCGCATCTCAGATAGGCACCTTCTAGTGGTACCTAAATGGGAAGTAAGCGATGACGTGGGCGTTGGTCAGAGTTTGACATGAAGGAGGTTGTGTGAGTTGGAGGAGAAGAAAGGTTGTTGGCAATCGTGGAGATAGCTGGAAAGGGAATGCAAAGAAGAAGATAAAGTGGGGATGCCTATCGGCTGAAGACCTATATTCCACTTTGAAGGGAATAATAGTAAACATTCGGAATAGTTTGTTAAAGATTATTTTATGACTGCTGTTGCTTGTCTTCACCCATATTAAAGTAACTTACCTAAGACTTTTCTTTGTAATAAAGAATACATCATCAATAAATCCCCACACATTACCCGACTTATCTATTTCATCCGAATTCAGTGCCTTTACAAAATGAAAGAAAAATAAACGAGAAAACAACCTCAGCACGAAAGTTTATGATAATGTACAAGGTGGAGAAAAATTAGTGAGTACTAACTGTAATTCAAACATCTCTCTGTTTATACAACAACAGACAAGCAACACGTCAGTTCACGACTTAACTGGAGTTCCAGTGAGTAGTCATGACTACCAGTTTCTACCAAGTCGTTGAGTGTGAGGCAAGATACACACCGATGCGTTATATATCGTGAATTGGCAAGAGTTAAAGTTCATGGACCATGGGATTCCATCCAAATGGCTGAATCGTCGAAGAATTCGACTTGCAAGCTGAAAGCCCAAGGTTCAATCCCCGATGGGATCATGGATGTATACTGCTGAAGATTCCCGAACTGGCAAGTATTCCCTCGTTGCACCAGTTTGTCATCTATTATTATGATTATTCCCTAGAGTTCCGAGTGGAATAGAGGGAGGGCTTCAACCGAAACACATCTCCATTTCAATCTGTTCCCTATAGTCCTCTCTTTACTCAAAATCTTTCGTCTCCAACTCCCACAATCTTTTCTACTTCACTTTCGGACACATGTGCAAATTACCGTTTCCTATTCGGGTTCCACATGAACGATGGCCTGCCGCGCGATGTCACTCAACGATCCCCTTAATGTGGTGTGTGCTACTGACAAGATTTATAAGTAGTTTACAGATGCAGATAAAAATATGTATGCCATCTGTGTCAACATTGTATATTGGAGAGATGGATTTAATGAACAGTGTTTGTGAAATAGCGTTGAAAACATGAAAGGAAGACAAAGGAGCGCAATACCGATGATATGTGGAAATTGTGATCCTAATATAGGGTAGACTTATTTTCCCCATATCTGTGTATATCAAGTTGACAATTAGTGATTCCGTTACTAAGTTTTCTTCCGGCGTTACATCAGGGTGTGTCCAATCCTTCAGTATTTTCTTCGGCATATTTCTTGTTCAACAGGTTCTCCATTGACGCGTTTTCAGAGTTCCTTGATGCCTATTCCTTCTTGAAGACCTCTGCTCTTCGGTATGAAACTAGCGAAGACAGCTGTTGATAAAAGTCTGCAGCAGGCTATTGCAAATACTTTTTGCTGACTAACCAAGTAACTCAGTCATATATAAGTAATGTTCCAATCCAGAATAAACGATCCCTGGTGAAGTATTTCTTTCAAGGACCCACAAAATTTGCACGAGTGACACATTACTGGATCAACTTCGACGTATACATTCAGTTAGATTAGGTAATGGTTATCCAGAAAATTTTATTAATTGTCACAGTAAGGAAAGACCATATCTTGAAGAGAAAGCTTCTGTACCAAAGAAAGCTATCTTTATTAACATGCCATTCAAGGGTGATCAAATTATGTAGTTGACAGCTCAAAGACTTCAGTCAGCCATCAGGCGCACATTCTATACCGCATCTCTTTCCCTCACATCTCGAATATTTTCGATTCCTGTACCTACGATTAAAGGAACAAATTCTGTAGACTCTACTTCAAACTGTATTTACACGTTCACCTGAAATGCGGTGACACCTATATAGGTAGAACCAACAGTGTTCCAATGTCGTCGAAACGAAAATGTTCCAAAATGGTTATTAAAGCACATAGAAAATCCCAATGCAATTAATCTGAATAGAAATCCATTATCATCGATTACAAAGCCCTTATTAATGTCAGGTCACAAAATCAATAATATTGACTGCTGCACAATTATTTCACATAACTCTAATTCAAGGTGAGTGGTGGCGATGGAAGCACTTTGGATTAATCATGTACATCCTAAACTATGCGTACAAAAAGCGGTAGACTTCAACCTTCGTCTACCATGGATTACCTGACCTATTTTAATATGATTGGTCATTAGTATGTACTTTTGTTTTGTATAACTGAGCAATTGTCGTGCATTTTATTTTACTATTGTGAACCATGCTAGTTGTAAATCGATTGTAGAGGAACTACGAAATGATGTCATCTCTCGAAATTTGTTTTCTAAACGCCTTATTCAAATTTATCGAAGGGACTAATTGTTTTAGTTGACATATATGACAAAGAATTACAATCAGTGGCGAACATGTTGCATTGCTTGCTCGCAGGGATTTGATTAATTCCAAATTCGAACACGAACTGACTAGAGTCACGAATACGTAATCAGGAAGGAGTGTTGAACACCTGTTTTGCCCTCTTAAGGGGCTCTTCCGTAGTAACCACCATATGACCCCATTAACCGGGGCGGGGGAGCGAGAAGTTTCGAAACCATGGCCTTCACATCACAAGGCGAGATTGCTAAACATTCAGCCACTGATCCATGAATTCTAACTTCTGCGAATTCACCATATATAAAGCATTGTCATCGGACTCATTTCAGAGTGAACAAGGTGCCCCCTTACCTTTCCATTCATGCTTGGTGCTGACTTCTTTATCCGTACCGCCGATAGTTTGAAACAACGCTGCCTAGCCAGATAAGTGAAAGGAGTGACGTGTTTCACGTTTATTCCGTTGACAGTTGTCAGTTGGTTATCTTCATCAATTGTCTTCTTTATGTTCACTTGAAGTCCTGTCTTCGCTGCCTGCTGTTTCTGCCAACTTGTTGGTAATCGTCCGTGAAATCCAGCTCTTTTATACTCTTCTTATTAATCCAACGTATTCTTGACTTGTCGCCCCCCCCCACACACACAATCCACCACAATCAGAAACATTATCAGTGATAAAACACAGCCTTGTCAGTTTTCTAACACCAATGTGAAGTTGGTCAGTTCTTCCATATGGGTCAGAAACTTCACTACATCGTCACGAAAAACATCTCCAACAGGCTACTTCAGTGTTTTATCAACAACTGCTTTCGCTGGCTCCATATCAAAGACCGGATGGCCAGAAACAGTTAGCAACCAGAAAAATCTGCTAAACAATGAACCAACTAATAACTTAATGCTCAACAAATATGTGAAAGAAAATGAAGATTGACTAATTAGACACACGCTGAGGAGACTGTTAGGTGAACTGGCATGCCAGACCATCGCTCGAGTGGAGCCCGAATGAGAAACAACGAGTTGGACGTATGTCCGAGGGTGACATGCAGCAGAAGATGACAGCTTATGTGCAATCGTGGGGCCAGGTAACGAGGACTACAGGGACAGGACAAAGTGGAGATGTGCCCCTGGTTGAAGCCCTATATTATACCCGGAACTCAAAGTACCACCACCGCTACCCAACGTCATCGAGGAGTATTTGTTCTCACACCCAACAGCTTGACTGGCGCGATGTCCTTTGATGGTCTCCTCAGTATGTGCCTGATTCTTCCATCTCCATTTTCTTCGGAATATTTGTTGAGCGAGTAGTATGTTCAAGCTTAGTTAGTTGCCTGTCAGTTTCTAATCCTTTCTGTCCTGTCATTTGATCTTCAATATGCAACCACAGAAGGAGTCAGTTGTTGATATAAGTCTGCAGAGGCCTGTAGGCAATACTGATATGTATCCACATGATGTGTGTGTTTTGTTGTTGACAGTCTATCATATTTTGCTATGTGTATATGGATCGATATTTCATTATAACTGACAATATGCTTTTGTCTGTCCACTAACTAAATAAACAATGTATGACCTTGTTATCACATGACATTACAACCGATCATGGTAAGACGTTATCTTATTGGTTCATGTGTATGAGCCATTTTCATACATACTTTTGTATTAGACACTTGTATATTATTCTGTTTCACACACATTTCGTACACTTGCACCATTTCACATACACACTAGTGTGACATTTATTTTCCTTGCCTGGAAAATACAAGTATCATCGTAAACCTGGTGGTCTTCTGATTTCCCTCTTTCCGCGTCAGGACTATTAACTACTCGACGAGTACATAACATAATTGGCGACGGGGAAAACTCTAATAACTCACTCAGCAGCAGTACATAACAAATACCTCTTGTAACGCATACGCAAAGTTTCTCATCCACTATCGAAGAACTAATTGACTTAACATTGGTGTTAAAAATCTGAATTTGGTACTTTTTGTAGTGGAGTGCAGAAGATTTCCAAACTAATTCTATAGTATGCCTTCTTGGATCTCTTTTCACAAACATACCAATGTTGACATCTTACTTCTAGGTCGACGAGTCTGAAGGTAAGAGTACCTTCAGGTCAACAAATGCGTTAAGTATGTCTGTGATCCAGTTAATTTTGTATGGCGAACATTTGATCAATATCCTTTCAGGAAGTCTCGTTTACCTCGAACTCTAATTTGTTTTCACGGGAGTATGGAACCTAGAATCTTAGATAATAGATTTAATCAAGTTAATTCCCCAAGTGACTTTTCCCTTTATTATATCAACTGGAATAGTCAACGATCTTACAGCAGTTTTTGATGAAATTATCTCAAATTCAATATTCCACAGAAATTTATCACTACCATCTTTATCCCCACTAAGACTAAAAACCAGTGCACCGAACCACCGTTTTAAGTCCCAGCCACGACAGTCAATAACACCGAACAAAATAAATTCATGTTAACCATTTGGACATTGTCGAAGTGTCTGAGAATTAAGCGGTGCCGATATGTTAACACAGAGAGGCCGAAGATTTCGGTTCGTCAAAACCAGTTAAGAGGGGGTTGTTAGGATGGACTAATTATCATTGTTAGCTGTAAAATCATGATTGATGCATCGGTGGCACAGTGGTTAGGACTCTCGCCGACCATGCACATGGTCCGGGGTTCGAGCCCACGCCGGCGCACACCTGATATCTATGGTCGGCCTGCAAAATTTGGGCTACCGATATCCACGCTGAAAATTCCACACTTGTACCAAAAAATACAGTGTGGAATCAAGCTGTAAATCAAAAATCAAAAAAAAAATCAAAAAAATCAATTAGACATTGATTATTTGGGGTTTAAATTTTCATTAATGTGTAAAGAATAATCCACTCTGTATTGTGAATAGTAAAGTTGTTGTTGTTTCTATGTGTCTACCTCAGTGTCGACGAATACTTCCAAGGGATCAGTTAGTTACACAGTATCGTCACTGGAAGTTCATTTTAATCAGCATAGACAACAACCAACAAATTGGTTACAACAATCAACTACACAGTAGGACGCGAAGTTTGGTTTCTTGCGTTCAGATCACACCAGTTCGATTTTAGTCGTTACAATTATCTCAGATGATCTCCATCAATAGGTAGCCACAAACCATCAAGTGTTGGTTTGCAGAGGAACTTGATTAGTACCAAGTTTGATCATTAGAAAACTAGTATTGGAGTACCGAATGGCTGTTTTGTCCAAAGTTTGGAACTCTCCAGCCATACGCTGCTCCCAGGAGTTCCAACCCACAGCCTTCTCGTTAAGCGCGATTGTGTTATATATCATGAATTCACAGAAGTTACATTTTATGCATCAGCCATTGGATAGGGGCCTAGTGGTTGAGTGATCTACGAGCTCGCCTTGTAACCGGAGGGTCCTGAGTTCAAACCCCAGAGGGCTTACTAATGAAGAGTCTCAAACTAGGATGAGATACCTAGCTGCCCAGTACTTCTTGGTGCTTTTCCAACTATTACCTGACTGTGATATCAGCTCGTGATCATCAAACCTGTAACTAACCAGAAAATGTATACAAAAACGTCAAATAAATATCTTAAAGAACCCTCTCAACGGAAATCAATAGCTTGTCACTCTATTAAAGGCAGAGTTGAATGACACGTTCAACTGGAGAAATATAGCCAGCGATGGATAGTGGTAAGTATGTGTGTACAGGATCCATCATGAGAATTGAAGATTTGATCAATCCGTGTCACACTGCTCATCGCAAAACGATAAGAGTGCAACTATTAAAAAGACAACTTGAATACATTATGGGTATCAAGAGACACGAGGACTGACATACTGCCCAGATCGAAGCAAGTGTGTTGGCTCTACAACAACTAACCAGGCCGCCTTTAACTTGAAGTCTAATCTACAAGGTAGTGGAGGAGTAGTGCTACAGGAGCTGGGATCCCATAGTTTCCGATGACCAAAACAGGTTCGTGTACGCCATTCTATCCTTTCAGATTCCGGAGGCCATTTGCAAACCATGGATTTGGAATAAACAGAGTATTCCAGCTCCCCTAGCTATTAGGTTTGAAAGTCAACCCGTCCGATTGTAAGCTTGAAGCGCTTTTATGAGGAACGCAACCCCCCATGCTGAGTGAAGCCGGAAGTGAATACGACAATTTACCTGATAGCAGAGGCTATTAATGTGTGGTGGTCACATGATAAAAGCATTTCAAGAGATAGGAAGACTGAAGTCTACCCACATCCACCCTAAGCCATACCACCACCAGGGTACAATAAGCCCCGTACAGCGTATCGCGAAGAGACATCAACGTTTCCGGGATAAATATCATGCAAACATTGTTCCAAAAACCAAAACTTTCACAAAAAGTTGAAATCCCAGCATTAACTTAGCCTTTACTTACTTTTGTAATTGTTACTCGTAGATAATATTCTTCTAAGATAAGATATTTACCCAGTAAATCCTGAACTTGACGAATAATTTGACAGTTGTTAAAAAATTGGGATATTTCATTGACTTTTACTAAAAGTAAGATGGAAAATAAAATAAATTTAAGTTTACTCTAAGAAAGCTAACGCCGTTGAGTTCTGAGTGGGACATAGGGTTTCACAGGAGGGGTACATCTCCATCTCACTCCGCAATCTGCAGTCTCTTTTTTAAAGCTGGTTCTAAAATCACCCATATGATTACATTTTAGCCTTTTGACACGACCACCCACCGGGTTGGGGCCCTCGGGACTCTAGGAATCAATGGCTGGAGACAATAGGTGACATGGCTCAAAATCGTTGTCAATGGCGCAGATGTATTCAATCTCTGTAATCTTTCATATTTCTTTCTACCATTACCCATTCTGTTTCACTCCTATATTTGTCAAACTCTATTAATTCTCTCCACTCATCTTCTTGTCTACCTCTGTGTGCTATTTGGAACGTGGCAACTCGAACTGCTGCACTTCGGTGCCAAGTTCTATGTTGAATCCAGACAGACAGACCCACCTCGAAGCCACGCCCAAATCATTGTTTCCCAATCGAGTGATGACATAGCTGGCGCGTGGTATCTGTCACTCAACAGTATCCCCAACGTATATTTATGCCATTCACCTCTATATCCTTTTGACTCAAAACCATCTAATCTTCAGTTTTCAGAGAAGATGACTAGGAGGGAGGAAGTAATGGCGAATAAAGTATGGTTTTCCCCTTATGAAGTTAGAAATACATCAACACTATGAGAATGTCAAGCTCATTAAATGTGTTGCTGAACAGTCTTTAAGTTTGGTTAACTAGAGGATCAAACATTAATGCCACTAGTTCTAGCCTTCAGTATCTTACTAACTGTTCACGTCAGACACCATCTGTATCATGACTCCGAACTGATACTACAGAGTTCCTCAACATATGTCACTGGCTAGTAGTGACTTCATTCATCTGTCTAAGTATTGTTAACGAACTTATCACGTAATGGATTGCGCGTATTTGATTGATTACAGGTTTAATCAAGAGCTGACATTAGTTGGAGAACTGTTGTAAACCACCTAGGAAATACTGTGCAGCAGTTTCCTCCCCTTAGTCTGGGAATTCGGGAGTACGTACTCACTTGGGTTCAGACCGAAGACCTTCCGATTATAAAGTGAGCTCGTATACCATTCAGCCACTGAAACCCAAGCTCACTTTGTAATGAGAAGGTCTTCGGTCTGAACCCAAGTGAGTACGTACTCCCGAATTCCCAGACTAAGGGGAGGAAACTGCTGCACAGTATTTCCTAGGTGGTTTCCAATTGTTCTCCAACCGACGTCAACTACTGATCTAACCTACAACAAACAAATCGTCACTAAATTGGTAAAATTTGTTGTGTTGTAATAAAAATGCTGTATACATTAGAGTAAAGCCAGAGATCAAAAAGCAAATATTTTTCTCTAATTGTCTTGTTTTCTTAACGAAGATCTACTTTTGTTTTCTGATCCGGCCTTTCACATACTCATCTATGTCGTCTGTAGTTGGAACAATGCTGTCCAAAGAAGGCATTTGAAAGATGTGAATTCCTTCAAATTCCTACCCCCGTTGATAGTGAGTGAATAATGCCTGCTTTTGTTATTGATCATCAGGTATCTTCATCCCCGGAAAAAGGGGAGGATCGGGGTTAGGGGTGGGTGTGAGGCTAGCAACCCCACCCTGTAAAGACAGCAGGATCCCTACAGAAAGTTCGAAGGTTATAGCCCCTAATTTCTTCTCGGAAGGCAAAAGGGAATAAAAAGAAGTCAACGTTGACAAAACAAACTTCAACATAGACGAATGAATACCCAAATATGCAGAAGAAGAATTTTCTGTTTTTAAACTGTGTGAAATAAAAATTGTTCTTAAAATTAGTGAATTTCAGGGGATAAAACCTTTTTCCCACTTTCGTTTGAAACTATTTCTCCTCTAACCAAAACTCCACTAATACGATTTTGAGCCAACAAATATGTATAAATGAAGAGAATATAAGAATAGCATAGCATGTATGCAAGGGGATCGCGAAGACAGCATTTTTTCAGCTCTCCTTTTACAGTGCATATGTATCAATGAAGATAGGTAGGGAATGCCGAGACCACCTGAATTGATTGAGGAATGGAAAAAAGGTATAGGCGTGTCACTAAACACTCGTAGCCATTATCGTATGACAGCCCTAGTCCGACAGTCAATTTCTCAAAGAGTTTTTTGTGAATCACGCCAACAGTCAAACTGTACGACAGTCTAGGGGTTAGGAATTGTCTGGAAATGTATATTCGCTGCTGTGGATTCAAGGGGGCCTCTTTGACATTAGCTGAGTATATCAAGCCTTCTGATTGAAGGGACACCAATCACAGACAAGCGAACTGCACAATTTCGTATCCAACTCACACTAAACAGTTGAATATTCAAGAACATCAAGCTAAACAACTTTTCACGCTACCATATATCGGAAGGAACTGTTGTGACGAAAACATGTGAAGCAAAAACCAAAAACATTACAGTCCTCATAGTAAATGAAAAACAATCATCATGAGTTGGGCGTGTGTCCGAGAGTGACATGCATGGAGGAGATCATATGAGGAGGAGATGGAAACTTCTGGTCAATAGAAGAACCAGCTAAAGAGGGCTGCAGCGAACAAGATGAAATGGAGATGTACCCCAGTTGGAGCCCTGTGCTCCACTCAGAACCCAAGGGAACAATAATAGTACTAATAATTAGGATATTAATCGTAACCTTGCCAAGTTGAAAAACACACCAGTTTGACAGAATCCTACATCCCGAACCGAGGAAGATGGTTGTCCTAAGGGGCCACCACAGCCATCTTAGACTTTGATATGACATTTGATGCACAAGGAACTGGAACAGCATACGGATAGCTAATGCGTTCCCAAGGTTTCCGGTAATCACAAAACAGATCCCTACATTATTCGGTTGTTCCAGATTTTAGAGCACATGTATCTGGTATAGGTTTGGAATAACCACGGTTTTCCAGTTCGCCTAAGGAGTAGATCACCAGTGGTAGTCCGGTTGTAGGAGTCAGACGTTACCTGTCAGAGGCGACAAAAGAACACTTTGACAGAGACGAAGATCGAAGTCTAAAATCCTCGACCATACACCAACTAGGGCGTTTAAGGCGCAGCGGGGGAGGGGTGATAACACTCCACACCCTCTAAATAAAAGAACAATAATCAATAAATCACTCCACTTACATTTGTAATCATTCTCGCTCAGATTGCATTGTTTTACATCACCCTACAAAAGGTGGAAAATCAAAGTGAAACGATAATTTCCATTAAAATATATACATATTTATGTGTAACTAGATGAAGTACTTTATAAAAAGACCATATTCAATGTTTGCATAATTAGGCAACAATTATAATACTACATATTATTCACTAGACCACTCGATCACAAGACCCACCTCTTGTGTGTAACGGGGTGAATAGGTATTTCCTGTTCCCATCATTGATTATGTTGGATTAAAATGATCTGTTTATCCGTCAACATATCGGCTACTACATATGGACGCTTCGATAATGTCTCACGATGAATACTGATGTTATCGAATCGTTAATGGTAGCAAACAGTGTTCTAGTATGAGAAGTCATGAACAGTGAGGGGTCCACCAGGTCTTCGGGTGTGAGAACAAAAACTCGCCGTTGATAATATCTGCTGGTACTAATCGCGCTGAAATGACGTATTGGTAGAAGTTGGTCACTGGACTGGATTCCAGTGGCTCAACAGTTTTCTACGAGTTCGCCTTGTAACCGAAATTTAGGTCAGGGGCCAAACTCCAGTAGTGGATGTGTACTGCTGATGACTCTCAAACTAGAAGGACGAAAAAACTGTCCATTACTCCTTGTTGGCTTCCTAATGGTTCTCTAACTATGACATCAATCCAAAATGAAACTTGAAGTATATCAAAACCCTACTGGTAACTCACACTTAGAAATCTATCAAACGTATATATGTTTCGTTAAATGAATTCCTGCTTAGGTATTCTGGAAGTGAGCTTTTGTTTACTAGATGGTAGGTGACATTTGTGGTGTGTTTGAAGTTGTGACTTGATGTTTTGTATTCAGCAGTAGACTTAGGCTTATCTTTTACATATAACTAAACGTTATAACTGTTATTTGTTTGATGCGGGGTGATTACTAGTGGAATTGCAGGATGCAAGTTAGTTAGTTTTTTACCCATATATAGAAGAATTGACTGATTTAACATTGGTGTAAGAAATTCGAATTTTGTTCTTTATGCTGAGGCGAAGCGGCGATCTCAGGGTGATGAAGAGTGGTGACCATTCGGCGTTGAAAAAAAAGCACCAGTTCTCGGCCGATCACCGAAGTTAAGCAACACGTTGGACCCAGTTAGTGGCTTGCCTGAGTGACAAGCAGAGAATACTTGGTGTTAACGGCTTTTCAGTGCTGATAGTGAGTGCAGTGGTAGAATGCCCACTAGCCACACACACACATACCCACATAGTCCGGGGTTTGATCCCGGCAACTGACACACTCCTATACAACACATAGCCAGTAGTAAGCCCGGTAAAGAAGGGAAGGTTGGGTGGCGCCAGACTAGCAACTCTACCCCGTAAAAAAAATTAACACCACTGGTACTGAACTTCAACGCTCCGACTTGAAGCCGCCAAATGTTTCCCACTCTGAACGTAAAGGAATAAACACACACACGCACATAGACAACTTACTAAAATTCGCCGATGTATAAACCGTAAATACAACTCGGAACAGGTAATCATCTGTAGCATTTCAACAATAATCGGTTCAATAGTCAATATTTTATCTAATCCTTGATCATTTGATGACAATTGTGAGGATGAGTTGGAATCCAATAGCTTCTCTTTATGACTTGACTGTATGGATGTATCACTTCTTTTGCTGTTTAAATAATTCATGGTATTTGATTTTTTGGTCATTGAGCACAGTTCATCTAAACGATGATGATAAAGGTAACGTTCAATAACACACTGTACATATTTATCGACAACAGATTGTACAGAGGCGACAAGGTTGAATACATTTCCTGGACCTTTAGTTTATAAAACATAAAATAAACGAAATATAATAAATAATGTAGTTTCGGAATACTACATAAACAATTTCATTCACCTATTCTTCAGTATTGTTGGATAGTGGCAGGAAATCAGTTAGCCAGAAAAGCCTTGAATCTATGCTTCGTCCTTGTTGACACTTATCAATCAGTCGGCAAGGTACAGCTGAAATCTTGAAGGAATTCATGTCCATCTTCTCCCCTAAGATTCAATTTCGAATCAGTCACTTCTGCAGTCAAAGAAGAGCTGTTTGGGATTCACAATTGACCTCCTGTCTTTTTATTGGAATGACTGCCTACAACCCCCTAATAAAAACAATACTGAGGGAAGTGTGATGGCCGGCTATCTACACTTACACACTTGAGTGATAGTCAATTCAGCCTGTAGTAAGCGGACGACTAGACGCATGACATTAATTACTACCTAGTGTCCAATCAATGTACTCTTATGTATATATATATTATATATATATATATATATATATATTGTCATTCCATATTGATCGAAAATATCAGACGATATCACCAAAAGAGTACTCAATAAACACAATATTAAAGTATTTTCATATTCAAAACACATTAAAAGCAACCGCGTTCATGTATAAAAGACGGAATTCCAAAGGATTCACAATCTTATTGTGTTGTATAAAATGAAATGCTTGGAATGTGTGATGCGATACAAACATGGCATCAGTAAATGAAATCCACACCAATTAGTTTAAGCCACGTTGTGAGGCGTAGACTTCTTGGTTACTTGGGGCCCTCGGGATGGTGGAGGCAATCGGAAATATGGCTCAAAATCCTAGTTCTTGATGATGGCACAGGTGCAACCTCTCCCAGTAACTTATAATATCCAATAAAACTATATTATTCTGCAATATTCCTTTTCTTGCCTCGTATTTTTGTGTATTATTTCTGTTTCGAATCTTTCTCTACTGTCTTCTCCTGCTTCGTGTCCAAAATGGAGTGTGGCAACTGGAACTGCCGCACACCGGTGCAAAGTTCTACGTTGAAACCAGTCAGTCAGTCAGATGCGATACAAACATCAAACAAACCTTGTGAGAAATCAATGACGTGTCATCAGAACAAAAATTAACATACTACAGCCGCATCTATTCAACCACCGAGAAATCCGGTTGAACTAGAAAAGGTTGCAAAATCATTACCTATAGATAGATCTACACACTTCTACAGAATCGGGTCACACAAAAATTTATTTTTGACAATGTTCAAATCATCCAGGGGAATTTCAAAAATCACAAAGAACATCTGGTATCAGAATCGCTTCATATATAAATGGAATCCGAATTTTCAGAATAGGAATGACTGACTATAACAGAATTTGACCCGGCTTCAAAATGCACACAGCTCCTGACCAAGAAGTGACAAAATCAACACAAATAGGATAACCGATGTCAGTGCGTAAAGATATGCTTTTTTACAATATTTTCATACCTTTATCTCAAATCCAACAATTTACTTTTACGAATTGACCAATTTGATAACATTAACAGAATAACCACCTCATGAATTGATTTGGTGGATAGCGACTAGCCGTGTGGAGAATCCAGGATGCGCATTTCGTCCTATTTGTGACTACTCGTCATATGGATGTACCTACATTCCCCAGTGAGTGGTGCTTGCATTCCCACTGAAACTTACCTGAACCCAGTACCTATTGTTTTAAACACCAAAGCGTTATCCACTAGACCATTTCGGCTATTAAAATTATCCCTGTAACCAAATCATGTTCTGGTGTTGCAAATACCGTTCCTTTTTTGAAATGAATGTAGAAATTACTTTTACTCAACCATGAACGTTTCTTGATGACTTTTAACGACCCCAAACAGTTTGCTTATAAACAGGGCAGAAGTACTTTAGATGCTGCTGCTGTCTTGCATCATAATATTGTTTTCTCCTCAGACAAAGGAGCCAAATATAATCGATATACCTTCCTTGACTACACATTTGCTTTTGACTATGTCCCTAGATATCTCTTGTTAAATAAGCCTTCCTCGACATAAACTGAGTCCTGGGATGATAACTGAATGCATTCTTAATTGGTATATATGGTGACTAGCAGTGGAATCCAGGATGCGCATTTCGTCCTATTTGTGACTACTCGTTATCTGGATGTACCTGCATTCCTCAGTGAGTGATGTTCCCACTGAGGCTCGAACCCAATGCCCATAGTTTCAAACTCCGAGGCGTTATCCACTAGACCACTTGGGCTATGAGAGCCACCTCTTGTGCAACGGGTCATATTGATTTAATTGAATTGCATCCTGGATTCCACTGCTAGTCACCATTCACCAATTAAATTTTAATTAGATGCCCAGACATTGTCGAAGCCTCTGCATAAGAAGCCAACATATCAACCTGAGACCGAGCACTTCGGTTCAATCAACCGACGGGAAATCTAAAATTCAATTAGATTGCATTCTTAGTTCTCTGACATAATCTAGCATGCTGTACATAAAGGCAGATCTTTCTCTAGCTTGCTTACTGAAGTTGGTTTTCTTCTAGGTGCCATTCTCTGTCCTCTTCTTTTCTCTTTCTTCTGGTATGATTTACCTCTCTCGAATGAAATCAACTTCGTTAAGTACGCTGATGATTTGACTGTCCCATTGCCAGTTACGTTCCGATCTGGCTGTTCCAAGCCTAGTAGCTTGTTTTCGGAAATAAGACAGTGGTCTGGACTAAATGGTCTTAAATCCCTCTAAATACTAGACAATTAATTTCACCTTTAGGTATAGACGCGACATACAAGAATTAGTCCATTTACGAGGTGCTTATAGCATAGAGAACACTGAAATAGAATCTAAGTCAAGCCAAAAATACTTTGGAATAGTTCTATCCTCTGACCTTTCTTGATCATCCTATACCTTGTTGATTTCTAAAACAATTGTCGTTATTAATCCTGTAGTATTATTTTTTATATTTGTCTTTCTTGTTGTCGATTAAATTAGATGCAACTTCGTAAATCTTGATGTTATAAAGGCGGAGAAAACTGTTTATTCGCAAGTGGAAAGAAGGTTAGTTAGTTCTTGCCTAACACTACTTTTATCACATAAAATGCGCACCCAATATGGTATCTTGAAATTGTTATACTTAGACTTGCGTGCATAAAGTTTTTTGAAATGACTTCTTGTTTTACCTGAGGAGATACAAAGTGAAGGCTGCGGCTAAAGTGGAGGCTCAGAGTTTAACAAAGTCCCTTTAGCAAATTTGTTGCATGAAATCAAGTGCCTATTGATGACGATTTCAACTACACGGCCCAATGGGATACTACTCGCCCTATTGACATTCTTCAGAGTCCTACGGATTATGACAGTCTTTATTAATCAACCTATGAAAGAATAAGGGTGAACAGTAAAGAATAATAGGTAAGATGCACTAGTTGACAAACTATAAGGGGAGGGGTTGAGTTAAGCCTGAGTGCCTTAACTTCTTAATGTAAAAAGTCAGATGGAATATTGTTTTAGAAATCGCTAAGACATGGGAAGACCAGGATAGGTCAGAAGAAAGAATTAATCCAACATACTTAACGTCAGACTTGATTTCTATCTTGGTATCATCAATTTTGCAACAGTCATGGGAATTAACAGCTTCAACTTCAACTTTATTTACATCGGGTACTGAAATTAACAGTCTAACATTTACAAGGCTTTAGTTCCAAACCATTAGACAAAGACCATTAGCCAGCTCCTGTTAGAAAGCTTCTCATAGAAATAATATCGGAACATTTTTTGGAAAAAAAAGCCCAAACCGACACTCACCACAATATGTTTCCACATAAATAGCATTATTCTTTAGGGTGTCAGCAACAAATTCCAGCATTTCAGTGATAAGATTAGCCCATACAAAACCAGGAGACTCTGATGTAGATGACGATGTCGACGCCTTATGAAAAGTTAATAAAGTTTCACATTTCCCCGTTATATTTGTGCATAGATATCCAGCGAAACGTTGTATGCCTTCGTTAGTTTCACCCAATAAGAAAAATATTTTCAACAAGTTGACAATATTCTTTTCATCTCGTTGGGTGGCATATTCATCAAATTGATTAATAGCTTTTTTCACGAGTACTTTTTGACATTCATCTAGCGTTGTCAAGGGGTTGTTATCGGGATCATCTAAAAGAGGAGGGAGAGAGAGGTAGGAAAGAATTATGATTATGATTAATTCCCATCCAGATATTAATGAAAACAAAACACGTTGTTAAGCGAAGAGGCTTTCTCTCCGATAAATTCACTTTCCGTTCTAGACCTCCAATCACATCAGTTCGCCATCTTTTTTTCACAAAGGGGGTAGTAACAAAAACTAATGAGCTGTCGTTATAATCGTAGTTTTTAGTTATAATCAGTGTATAGGAGGGATTGAATAAGGGTGTCAGAGTTATGTAATAATAATCATTTGTCACAGTGATTATGACTTCAGTCAATTGTTATACGTATGTAACAACTGTTATCCAGCAATAAAATTTATTCTTGAAATGAAGAACTAGGGTATAATTCTCTTTCCTCGTGTGGAACCTACAAAAATAGTTGACGGAACTTTAGGAAGGTCTGTCCATATCAAAATTCATATGGAACGCGGTCAACTGGTAAGTTTCTGCATTTGGCTACCTGTCGAACAAAAATGGAATTTAATCAAATCCCACATCACTCGGACCCCACGCATCCGTAGTCTCAGCACCGTAGAAGAAGAACTAGACCTTCTGGAAGAAATATTCATCTTAAATGGAGACTCACCGAGATTCATGGACAAGACTACCAAACCAAACAGCCAGAGGAACGTAACATTACTTCCTCCAAAAGAGAAACTTTACATGAGCCTGGGACTTAACCTGAGATATCCTTAAGAGAAGAATTTCATCATCCCTGGGTCCTCGTGGAAACGCTAAGAATAATGTTCTCCAACAGTCGATTGGGCTGCAGAAGCATTAAGGACAAGATCTCGCACCTGACCACTTCTATGTGCATGCATATTAGTTCATCTATTCCTGTGGAGCCAGACAAATTGATCGTTCTACGCGTATCGTGTCTAAAAAAGGGTTCAAGAACACCAGAGTTGCAAAAAGACACCAGTGATCAACACTGACCATTCCATCTCAAAAAAGACCTCCCTCAAAGTAATCTACAAAGTGTGAACAACAACCTGCCAAAGACAACAGATACGCTTTCGTCTCCTGGCTGTATTGCTGAAGCTTTAGCCATTCAGATAGAGTAATCGGAGCTCTGCATACAAAAGAAAATTACTCAGTCACTCCTAATACCATGGTAACAACCTCATTGGTGATTTCTACCGACTTGAATCCTGTTTGCTTGTACTTTTTTAGAACTCTCAACTAATTTCTTATTATCCTACGCTTCTCCGTGCATCGCGATTATAACTCATCTATTCACTAAATTATTCGCCTTATTGAGTAACTCTAATAGATTCACTCAGTTCCTTTACACTAACAACTGTTTGTGACAACAGCTCACTACTCTTGTTACTACACTCTTTCATGAAGCAATTGTATATAGGTGCGGTTGTACAGGTATACGGGAAAATGAATTCTCCAAAAAAGGGCCTCTTTGCTGAACTACGTGTTTAGATTACTATTCCCTTGGGTTCTGAGTGGAACATAAGGCCCTAACAGCATATCTCCGTTTACAATTAGTTAAAACTTCCCATCGGGACATACAGAAAGTCGAAACAGGTGATTCAGTATCGTCGAGAGTAGCATTTTCTAGTCGACCACTACTATATTCAGTAACCTAAAGAACAAGATCCCACAGTCGACCAGCTCTATGTGCGGCCTAATACACTCACCTGTACGTCTTCGGAACTAGGTATGTCGGACGTTAGACTAGGGTTTGATCCGAGATGGTGAAAGAAAACTAGCTTGCATGGATACGAAGAGGGGGAAGAGTAGCAGGTTATAACAAGTGCAATCACTGAACATCTGGTCGATATAGATCACTTTATCTTTACAGCTTCATCCTCTTTAGAATTATCTACAAGGCAAAAAATAACCTACCCAAATCATTATATAACATCCGACTCAGCTATTGTACTGCTGAAGCTTTGGCCATCGAAATCATAAAAGCAAGATCCCTGTGTAATGAAAATTTTTGGCCACCCCCTCCAACTCTCATGGTTTCAATCCGTCTATATCAAAGTATGATAATGCTTATTCATTCCATGACTCTACTTATTTTTCATTTTACTTATTCAACATACAAATCCTTATCAAGAGTTGGTGTACAGGGTTTGATTGATCACAAATGTGATCACGAGGCGACATCAGTTAGGGAACCACTGAAAAACCGGAGTATTGGTCAGCTGTTCTACCCAAGTTTCGGACTCCCCATCAGTACGCACCCGATGGGATTGGAACCCTTATTATGTCGCTTGTCACTATTATTATTATTCTCACATTGAACTATATCCGGTATTACAGTTCTACTTGTCCCACGTGTCATTCTAAATCAAAATATTTTTGTGCAGTGTTAAATTCTATGTTATCAAATTAAACACCATGTGATATAACTTTTCTTTATTTGTCTACTAATCATACAATTATGCACCCGTTTCCAACATCTATACATCCTATGAGTTATTCAATGAATAGTAGGTTCTTGACTGTTTCTTTCCCTGCCAGAGTTCCCTATTGCTAATCCTTTCCGGTTGGACGTCTGATCTTCAGTATGCAGCTGGCGAAGGCAGCTTTTGGTGACACATTCGCCAAATCTCTTACCCAAAAAGAACCTCTGACTGACTTGACATTGGTGTTCGAAATCCGAATCTTCTTCTTTAATTTTAATTTTTGATTACAGCTTGATGCCACACCGTATTTTTGGTACAAGTATGGAATTTTCAGCGTGTGACATCGGTAGACCAATTTTTCAGGCTAGCCATTGATATCGGGTGTGCGTAGGCATGGGATGGAACGCTGGACCATGTGCATGGTCGGCGAGAGTCCTAACCATTGTGCTGCCGACACACAGATTTCCAAACTGATTGCATAAAGATGAAAGTCTTTCTCACCTTTCCGATTCTGGCTTTGACATCTTATAAGAAGGCAGATGAAGAACTTATTGAAGATAGATGACGCTAGACAACTATATAGGATTATTTTAGGGAAACCGGTTGTAAAAAACTGATAAAAAATGATGATAAAAGATACAGTCTCTGAAAGAAAAAGCTGCACCTCGCAATAAGCTCACAGGATAGAAACCTAGAATGTTAGAGAGGAAATGTTGAAGGGCAGCTTAATTGGCCAACAGCCAATTGTCAAGCCTTCCAAACCTACCCGAATGGGATGTGGACATCGGTCTTACAATTACAACAGAGGTTAGAAAGGTTGTTTCCAGCCTGGGACGGGGTAGAGCAGTGGGATCTGATGGTGTTCAAGGATGGTCGTGAAGAAATGATGTCTGAGAGTCAAAGATAGTCACCGATTATCCCACTGTATAAGAAGGCTGACAAGTCATCCTATGATAATCATAGGAGGATAAGCTTAATCAACATAGTATATAAAGTTCTAGCAGAATAATTATGTGCACAATAAGTGATGCTCAGGAGAAGGAAATCCGAGAAAACTAAGCAGGCTTTAGACCAAGTAGAGGGTGTATATTGATCATGCATTCACTCTTAGACAGGTTTTGGGACATAAGCATACTTATCAGCGTCCACCACTTGTCATATTTCTTGACCTAAAGGCGGAAGTCGACTCCGTCAACCGAGAGGTGGTGCTATGACAATGGTTGACCGTTTAGGTAGCGCCGAGAAACTTATATCGCATTACTAAGGCATTCTACTCGAATTCACACAGTCTTGTAAGAGCTTACAGAAAGTTGTCGTCTGAAGTTATGGTAAGCACCGATGTCCATCGTTACCCCCCTTTTGTTTAATCTCATTTCAGATGTACTAATGGAATCCACCCTGAGTGACTTCAGCTACTTAGGAATTAAATTGTTACTAGGTGATAGTCTTGTTGACTTAGAATATGTGGATGATATAGTCCTCCTCCTAAGTGAAGAAGCTGATAAAATAAAGTTGAGTCTTAAGAACTCCGTTGAACAGAAATCTTCGAATGTCTGTCAAGCGATTTGCTCCCCTCAAATGTATGATGATGCTGCAGGGATGGATTAAACAGACTCCTAGCTTAAATATAGGGAAGCAGTGAAGTGATAGAGCGTGTTGGCCATCACTTCACTAATTTAGGAAGTTGCATCAACCCTAATTACGGACTACCTGATTGCTAACAAAATCTCAGTACGGATACAAAAGGCTCGTGTGGTATTGGGAAACTTGCGTCATCTCTAGCGCAGACGTGTGATATACAGCTATCGATCAAAGGACGTGTTTACTGTGCTCAGCAGTTCGCTCCATCCTCTCGTGTGGCTGTGAGACAAGGCCATTGAAAGTGGAAGACATGAAACGGCCAGTTAGTTGTCTTCCATCATGGGTGTCTCCGGTCTATCTCCAATGTTACATGGTATAATATGATGAGTATTATTGTGGTTAGCCGTAGAGTATGTGGTAAGCAAGAGAAGTCATTTGATTCAGTTATCAAGCTACATCAATTGATATGTCTAAGACAAGTGTTGCGTATGCTGAGGCACTACTTTCCTCGTGGGCTGTGTTAGCTGACAAAAGACCCGGTCGAGAAAGAGTTAGAAGTGGTCAAACCAAAACACGGCATCTGTCCACAATATCTTTGGCAACTGTTTTGAACCAATCAAGAACGAAAGTATGTACTACCTGTTAAGGGTCCTCACTCAAGATACTAAGAACCAATGGTGGCTTGAAACTGTGGACGAAATAGCTCAAAATCGTTCTCGGTGACACATATGCATTCACTATTTATGTGATTTTACCACTCCATTGCATCATCCAGTGTTTTGCTTATTTTAGTTCTTTTGAATCTCTTTTCCCTCTAAGAAGTGCGATATCTCGAATAGCTGGTGTGACACTTCTGTGCACAGTTATCTGTTGAAGCTGAGTCAGTCACATTTCAGGTGATTCGCAACACAAGAATTCTGTTCAGTCTCAGTAGTACGCTACATAACAAAAAGAATAAACCAATTTTTCTCCATCCCGAGGTCCTCAATGAGACAGTCTACACCTCCCCATGTGGCTAACTTAAACCAAATGTTGAAGGCTTCATCGATTAGCCGTAGGTTTTGGATTGACAGTCCCTAACTCTCTCTCTCTCTCAACCCATTTAATTCCATTTAAGCTAACACTGGTCGACTAGACAGCCGATGGCCCGGTAAGTGTAAACTCTTCCCCCTCCATCTCAACCACTGCAGTTTAACAAACTCGTCAAGTGATTTGCACACCATACCTACCACGCTATTCCTAACCTCAATATTAGGCACCATATTATATGACTTAACATGGGAGAAGCTCAAACATGTGGTCAAAGACAGTTGGCCTTTCTATATATTTCAATCTCAGTAGCCCTACATCAGTTATAAGGGAGGATAGAGCGAACTACTCAGCGGTACATTGTCTTCTCTGATCGATAACCGGATATCACATCTAAGCCAGAAGATTTAATTTGGTAAATGCCACAAAAATCTTTTGTAGCCATGCTGAAATTTCGTCATAAATCAGTCAGTCCGGGAGGTGATTCAATTTCCCAAATAATAAATGAGGCAGTCAACACACTCATTTACTTCCCTCCCTATCTTTAAGCTAGCAGCCGTTTTGGACTAGTCTTAGAGCATCATCTTACATTTGATAGGAGCAAATCACACATCAAACGTTCGAAGATTTCTTTTTAAGGTGTCCATAAGACCTACGGGAGGACAATATCATCTCCTTACTCTACATTGACAAGCCTATCCCCTGGTGAAAGAGGCAATCGTAAAGTCGCGAAAGTACATTTGTAATGGAGATAGTGGGCATCGCTGATGGACACAATTGGTCTTCATCTCAAAGGATGACAAAATTCTCCAAAAACTCTTACACTGAGTTCGAGTACAGTTGCAATGATTAGTGCGACATATAATTTTTCGGGCACACTGTCACAATACCTCATGGTTGATAGAGTCGAACGCCACTGCCAGGTGTGTGTTGCCTACACTCCAGAAATTGTCGAAACGTGAAGATATAATCAATAAACACCCTCATTTCTACTGTAAAGACAAGTTAACAGCAATACTCACCTGCTACTAATCGCATCACAAGAGACAGGACATCTTTTTCCATTCCCAAGTAAGTATATACATAACTAGCTGCTTCATCCAACTTAGAATCCAACAGACAACGTTTTACACCAAGTGCAGAATTTTTCAATGTAATAACATGGTTCAACTTTTCTACACATTTTAATACATGATTCTAAAGCAACAACAATATTAGTATAAATTCAATGGAAAGAAGAGAAAAGTAAAGTGATTACCTTTACAAAATCCAACTGTTCTACTTTTCCACTAAGTTGCAGAGCAAGTTCTGATGCACAACCGACAAGTTTTGATGAATTCTCTGCATTCAACTGTAATTTATGAAAATCAGGTCTAAGGTTAAAAAAGTAAAGATTCAGTTTTCATTAACCGGATTTACATTAAAGAGTTGATTTTCTTTAAATTTTCTTCAATTTGGGTTCTTCTGGCTAAAATGTCTTTAATTTCATTTGAGACATTCACCTAGAGAGAAAAAATCCATAAAAAGTAGAAGAAAAATCAACTTACTTTAGCACAATTCGACTTCTCGACTAAATCATTCAATTCAGATAGACTATTGACTGTACAAACACTAGAATCCATGATATCGAAATCAGTAGCTGTAGAGGTAATCAGAAAGCCCACAGAAGGTTCTAGAAAAGAATGGAAAGAAATATATGAGGAAGACAACCGAACAAGTCACCAATCATTAACTAAAAGATGAAACACTGGTAGCTGAATTCTGTAAAACAACTTAAAAGGAGACGGCCAACAGACTAGAAATCGTATCATTGCCATGCACTCATCGAAATTACTTGCTCCTATAAACAACCTGGTACGGCCAAGGTTAGGCAGACTTCACAGCTCTCTCTCGAAACGCTCTCATGTCATAAGTTTTATTTACTGCCACCTTCACACGGCGTCAGAGTGTTTTTCACAAAAGTGTGAAACACTGATTGAAAACGTCTGGCGCCTACACAACTGAAATGGTGTACATTAAGGTCTACTTAGGGGAGCTTGAAAACTCTCATTTCAAACCTACTATGTGTAGATGGGCTCTAGAATCCAAAAGGTCACTGGCCTTGTAGATCAGACTTCAGATTAAAGGCTAAGGGTGTGATCTCTTAATATAATAACTCTATTTGGCTCTAAGCTTCCCGGCAGAATCCTAACCGTCATGCACATTATGCAGCAACAATCAATGAATCTGTAATCGCGAGCTCATCATCAGAAACCACATCTATGTCACTTAACTAATGGGATGAGAAGCTCCAAACAAAGTTTACAGTGGCTGATGCCTCAATGGATAAAGGTTGACAAGTTGAACATCTGATCTGGATCATTTACTAAGTACTGTTTGTCTCATATAAACCTCGTTGCTTACCTAGTCTATTTGGATTCTACACATTTACCAAACACTTGAATAAATTGCAGACCTTTAACTTATAATATTAACTGACTGACTGATTTACGACACAGAAGGTTGCAGAACTTAAGTAGTCGCACACAGAAGTAGGGATAAAAAGGAAATTCGAAATAAGTACAACGAGCAAATATGTACGGGAGAAAGAACAATTACATTGAGAAGCGTGAAGATTTAATGGATCTGAGAGGTTTTGATATCCCCGTGGATTCCAAGTAAGACATAAGACTTCAACAGCGAGTCTCCACTTTGTTCTGTTTTCTGCTGTCCTGTACATCTGGCTGACCCCATACATGCCCATAGTCTCTCACCTCCTCCTCATACAATCTACCCCGTTTCACCCTCGGACGCCCCACTCGTCGTTTCCTACTCTAGTAATGGCCTGATTGGCGCGTGATGTCACCCAACGGTTTGCTCAGAGTATGCCTAGTTCATCACTACTTTCTTCTACACGTTTGTTAAAAAAGAGGATCTTGGTTAGTTTTTTTCCCTTAGTCTCTTCTTACTGAGTCTTTCTAACAACATTTTCATTGGAATTACTCAGTATGAAAGGTGTCTGAGTATCTACTCACTAACCAGGGCATAGCAACTGAAACCAACCAGCCAACTTTAGCGATTAGCACTACCCAAATAATTTGAGGGCAATTTTTAGGCGAATTCGTGGGTTCTGTGGGAAATTTGGGGTAGATTTGGAGAAACTTGGGGTTCCCGGAGTTTTCTGAGGAAAAATGTCGCATTTTCTCAAAATTCCTTCTAAATGTATGCATTAAGCTGCCGTAAAAATGCCCTCAAATAGTTTATTAGCTAGAAGTGTGAGAATGCAACAGAAAGATCAGGAAGACTCGTGATTTCTAAATATACACACTCGCATTATTTTGTTGACGATAGTCTCTAAGTTCATTTCATCAACTCTCACTGCGGTCTAATTACACATATTATCATATACTTTGAATGCAATATCAGATTTATTGCAAGAGTCACGGTACAACTAGACGTGTGACTCCACCGCGTGATAAGGATGCATAGCGAGTAATTTAAACTCGAACAAGTTTATTCCAAATTTACATTTTACAGGAACAATTGCATTCCTATTGAGAAGTTTTGAAACTTAATTTCCAACGTCACTGGCAAATAACTTTGCTAAATAAGTCAGTGCTGACTGTCCTAGGATTCCAGTGGTAAATTCCAAGACGATCTTCAGCTGTCTTATTTATTCTGTCAACAGTAAAATTATGACACGATCTTATATAACCTGTAGGTTATATAAGTCCTGGCATTTTCTGAAGTCAGAAACCTCAGAAACTTTCACTGGACAGAAACGCATTTCGAAGAGAAATTAATTGATTTTAAGTGATATACCGACACGATACTATTTCTAAATGCGATGCAAAACTTAAATAACGCGAGATCTGCTAAACCCACATCAGTTGGTGGAGCGTTGAAATACAAGCTGCGCGCCGAAGAAGTAAAGCTCAATGCCCAATGTTGTTTTTTCTGACGGCTTGTAAAACCAAATGAATTCTTGAGTCTCAGTACCTTATGTTTTGGAACTGCAATGAATCATTGGCGGATTCCAACATAAATTACACTCTCCGCTGATGCGGCTTTACCGAATGCTATCAGAGAAGAAAGCGGGACTTCTGGGAGTGGGCATTTGGTTAGCAGCTTATTCTTCTAGTCAGGTCCACAATCACCACGAAGAAAACGGCGCTAGGTAATTCGCAATGATATCTAAAGCACAAGAAGGTCATTCAGATGGAAGATAGATTTAGAAGATCAGGTATATAAACAGGTTAAACAAATACAACACGCGAACTTACAAAAGAAATATAAAACAAAATGAAAAAGAAAAAGTCTTGTTAAGGTGCAGAAAGAAAAGAATCTGGGTAGAGTAGTGGAGTATATTAAAAAGAGTAGGATATACTTAGTGCCAATAGAGCACCATGAGATTAGTTTACTTTCCCCACAGACTCATGCAAACCTATCATTTTCGAGCAGTTGACTCGCCTTCCATTGAAGCTGTTGCGTGGCAAAGGGGTACCCACGTTCTAGTTCGCGAAAACTAAGGGAATACAGGTTAGCCTATCCAATTAATTCCGTCGTCTGATGAACATTTCTGTTACGATTATCCCTAATTGTGTCGTGATGGGCTTCTTTAAATATGTCACTGTTGGTGCTCATTGGACGATGAACTATGCCATCGTGAGGTTGCCCATGAACTTCCACCACTGGTCATCTTAAGTCCATCATTTCAGTCCAGCAATAGTTTTACCTGCCGTCCTCTGTAATTATTCTACAAGTTTCGCATCTCGCTTCAGGTATGGTGTTGCAGTAACAATTTTAACTTCCAGATTCGACCTCCCATACGTTTCGTACGACAAAGTGAGAATAATCATAGCCGGCAACGCTCGAACTAGATTGATCTAATGGTTCTGCCAGCGCAATAATGTCCACTGTGTTTTTCAGAACAAGCCCTTAGTCCGACAATGACTGTGTGAAAGACAAAAGTGTCACAAGGATGTTTGTTCTGCTTTTGTGCAGATGACCATTGTCAGTCAGGTCTTTTATGTTGACGTATCAGCTGTTCTTTTTGCTAATGGTTCCGCACACCTTTTTTCTCTGCAGAGAAGCGTTCGTGCACTGAGTTGGTTACAAAAATCGCTTACAAAGACCAGACAGAGCAATGGACCCCAAATTACCCCGGTTGTTACCCCAACCATCTCCTCTTTATATGTGCAGCATGTTTGATTCGTCTTCATATAAAATCCTATGCAGTGCATTCAGAATACGACCCAACAAAGCAATAGGTTACTGGTTTTCAGTTTCGCAGCATTCGTAGAATTTGATTTCGTGAGTTAGTGAGCTAAATTTTTTCTTAAATTCTAGAACCAATCGGTGAACTAAGATGTTTTGGTACCAGCATTCTGTCTAGTTTCGTTTGTCACTCGTTATTTGATAAAGTTATATGATAGCTCATTTCCACTCTCTCAGCAACTGAAATATATCCAGTTTGTACTCAGACAACAAAGCTTCACTTGCGAAATGAACCTAGTTTTCAGTGGCTTTTGAGTGGTGAAACTTCGAAATCTGATGATCCCCAAATTTCTGTGGGAGAAATGCGGGAGCACCGAACCAAGCTAACCGTTCACCGCAGTAATACCCACTGTCAACTGTACAGATTTGAAAAGATCCCGAACTTACCGCTGTCGCAGAAAACTAATCGCCGACTCATGATACTATTTATGTCAACCAATTCGAAGTATCAGAACTTAGGTTGGCAATTCGAGGGTTGTTGATTTCTTCACCGACAATAAACCACGAATGCAGGATTACTACAACACTATATCTACGAATAAACATCAGAAAAATCTCAGTAAGACTTCTGATTGTTTTCATGCAGTCTTCTGCCAAACAGCCTACGATAAGAGTAGAGCCACCTATGTAGCCTCCCGCCAAAATGTAGGCCACGTAGAATAACCAAACCACATGTCGCTTATTCAGTATTCCCCAACACTGACACCACCCTGTGATTTTAGTCAGGACGAAGAATAAGCCTTTTTAGAATTGCCGCTTGCGATCAGTTGTTATGGAGCATGGACACCCAAAGTTTGCGATCCATCGTTCGACAAAGGCACGGGCAGCTGTTTCAGCAGATACATCCTTGAGGGTTACTGCTTCAGGCCATCATGTGAAACGATCGATGCAGATTAACATATAGGTATATGCATGAGATTCTGGAAGGGATCAATCCAACTCGAAACGAGCGTCGGGGATAAGAAAGGTGCCAAGACGGCTTTTGGTGTGTCTTATTACCTTGCACTTTTGGCAAGCTAGGAACGTGTGTGCCCGTCCCCTTATTTCCTTATTAATGCCAGGCCAACAGAAAACTGGCTAGTTACGAGCTTGACGGTAGTTCGAATACCTGGGTGGGATAAGCCATGCAACGTATTGAAGACGTTACGGCGATAACTTTTAGGCACGATGGGGCGAGGAGTACTCGTGAGAACGACGCATAGAATAGTATAATTTCCCATACCTAAGGGTTTCCCGGCAAATTGCAGAGTTGTTTTCTACAGCTCATGTTGAAGCTTAGTATCTTTCTTTTGAGGACGAGCCAGTTTCTTAAGGTCTGTGCCGTCTGTTTGGATGAGGGAACAAATGCGCGACAGGGCATCTGCCA